CGGGCTGCTCTTTGAGATCATGGAGGTATGCCACTAAATTATTAATTTAGAGATGAGGATTTCAGTCAGTCCTGCCATGTCCATGTTATCTATATAATTGTTTCCTACATTTTTTCGTAGAAGAGGCATCCTCTGCTCGTGGGCACAAGCATGCTGTTCTGTAGGGACAGGAAGTTACAAGAGTTCCTGAAGTGAACTCTCAGGGTTAGAAGGTTGCACACAGGGGAAATGACAGTAGTCTTATCAGAATGTCCTATCAGAATACATACAATTTCGGAGTTTTGTAGTAAGAGTAAGGTGTATTTGAGTATTTTGTCAATATGGACCAGATTTGAAACAAACTCAAAAATTACATCTGTCTCTAATTCCATGTGATCTGGAGAAAATACTTTGTTTTGCTTTGTTTTATTTGAGGTAGGGTCTTACTGTGTAGCCCAGGCTGGCCTTGAACTTTATGCTTGAGACTTTTGGGATTATAGGCACACACTATCAAGCTAGCAAACTATCCTGTATATCTCAGAGCATACATCCCGTAATTATTTCCCAAAAAGGCCCATCAAAATTTCTTTCCTAAACATTTTTTTTCTTCCTAATATTCGTAGGGGTTAATTTCCTAGCTTAAGCCTAACACATTACTGAGAGTTTTTTCTTTAGTTAATGCTTAAGATCAGAATTGGGACTGAATATATTTTTTAGGTTTTACTGACAACTTTTTCTAAAAAAAAATAAACTTACCCTCTAATTACGTTGATAGCCTCAATTTTTATGCACACTTTTTAGTGGTACTGAGGTTTGAACCCAGAGCCATGCTTACTATGCCTGTGCCCCTCGGCCTGTTTTGCTTTAGTTATTTTCTTAATAGGATCTGACGTTTTGTTTTATTTTGTGTTGGTTGGTTGTGAGGCTTGACCTCAGCCTGGGCACTGTCCCTGAACTCTTCCTCAAGGCTAGTGTTCTACCACTTGAGCCACAGCGCCACTTCTGGGTTTTATGTGTTTGTTTGGGCTTGTACCTCAATCCTCCTATCTATGCCTCCCATGTAGTTGGGATGGCATGTGCATGCTGCCATGCCCAACTTACTGGTGTGGGGCTTTCAGTTACTTGTCTTGCACTGGCTGGCTTGAATTGCAGCTCTCTGGGATTACAGATTACTGCACCAGCCCAAGTTTTTAATAATGTAATTAAAGTAATAAAGATTCAATGCTTGCAATAGCTAGGTTATTGGTAGATTATTGATTACAGAAGAATAATTATTAGTTGAGCACTAGTGCTTCATGCTTATAATCCTACTTAGAAAGTTGAGACTGGATGATTCCCATTTTAAAGCCATAAAATTCCTTGAGAATCCAACTTCAAAACTTAACAAAAATCTAGGCTTAAATTGTACCTTCAGTGATGGAGCCCCAGCCAAGCCAGCATGAGGCCCTGAGTTTAAAGCTCAGTCCTGGCCAAACTCCCCCTTCATCCCCCCAAAAACCAAACAAAAAAACCCCAAAAACCCAAACACGGGTATTAGCATGTTAATATTTGGAAGCTGAGAAGTGTTAACCCCTTCATTTAGTACATGAAAACACTGAAGTTGTGAGCTCAGACAGGCTGTACCAACTCATCCTGTACTTTTCCCTTACACACTGCTTCCCTGGGCCTCAGTTGTTATAAATAGCAATCTGAAGATTATAGCTTGCTTTGGATCATACCAGAAAAAGTATTTGAGACTTCTTTCAAAAACCACATGTATTTTCCTAAGAATCCCAGGAAGTAGTTGTCACTTAAGAGTCCTGCGTCTGTTGGCTACTAATTGGGTGAACCTGCTAAAACCAAACTAATCTCAGTTTCATGGGTATGTATTTTAAGGAATATCACAACTCATTGTGAAGGTCAAAATTACAAATAAAAACTGTACTAGTGAACCTGGCACTAGAGATTCACACCCATAATCCTAGCTACTTAGGAGGCTGAGGATGGGAGGATTGTAGTTCCAGGCTAGCCCAGGCAGAAAAGTTTGGCAGACCTCTTTTCAACCAATAGTTGAACACAGGGTCAGTTAAAGTCTGAGTCTCCATTTCAGTGAAAGAAGCTGAGCACAATTGCACACACCTGTCATTCCAGCTGCTGTTGGAAACAAAAGAATAGGAAGATTGAGGTTCAGGTGTGCTCCCAGTCAAGAAAGAGACCCCATCAAAAACTAGTGCAAACAAGGACTGGACACATTGCTCAGTGGTAGATTTCTTTCCTAGCAAGTTTGAGACCCTGAGTTTACTACCACAATAAAATAAAATTCACACCCACAAAAGTGTATCAGACATCTAAATTCAGTGTACTTTAGGTTTCTGGGTACTTAGATCATAACCATTAATCCACGGTGTTAAAACATGTCTTTGTTTAGATACAGTGTCTTAATTTGCCCTCAAATGTCAGAAGCATGATACTGGGAAAAAAGTATTGGCTATGAGACTAGAGCTGAGCTGCAACTTCACTATTGGTTGGGAAGCAGACAGTCTCTGCCTGATTACTCGTTTGTAAAGTGAGGATGGTAAACAGCACATGGTGTGTGTATGTGTGTATGTTAGTGAAGGAAAGCATAGAAGATATTCCAGTAGATATCCTACCTCAGTTGATGGTGAAAATTTAACTAGTTACGTGTCTGTGCTCACTTCCAGATGCTACAAGCTGAAGAAACCTCCAGCACCTCTCAGTTGAATGAGCTAATGATGGCTTCACAGTCAACATTACTGGCCCAGGACCCTCGGGAGAGGACTGCGGATGGAATTGAGCTTACCGGGACATTCCTCATCAATTTAGAAGGTAAGAAGCATGTGATAGCAGCAAGTAGTGTCTAGAGAACTGAGTTATCCAGCTTTCAGTGTGCACTATTCTAGGGGCTCATAGGGACTTGAAATATGTTTGTATGGAAAGTGTCTAAGCCAGACCTCAAGTGTCCTTGCTGATGACCTTGGGAAGTGAAGGCTAATGATAGAAGACGAATTCACTTGTTCTGAGTGACCGTCTATGTCTGTGTCATCTGCTTTACTCTCATTTCCCATCCGTGTCCCTGAACTTTGATACAGTGTCCTAGGATCTATCTTACCTAGTACCTATCTTACCTGCCCAACCCTGCAGTACTGATTCTGAAATGTCCTCATCCATAGCCCAAATTAGAGTAGGACTTAACCATGCTCTCACAGCAGCTGCAGATAGCTTTATAGGGTACTTTGTCAACTTGGTTTATCTGCATGAATAGGAGCAAAGAAAGGTGGGATAGAATTAGTAGAGTAGGCAGCAGGTGTTGTAATAGATTTCAGGTGCCCGTGAGAGACAGGAAGCTAACTTGCAGGTGTCATCTGAATTTCAGGCTTGGCAGTAAGTACTCTCTCTATGAAGATCTGGCTTCATCTGATTTTCAAAAACTTGGATGGGGAGTATTAGGATCGAAGCTAGGGCTGTGGGCATATATGGGCCCTCTCCCATATGAGTTGTGTACCAAACCCCACCTGTTTTTTCTTTAGGCAGGTTTTGCTTTTTGCCCAGGCTGGCCCCAAACTCAAGATCTTCCTGCCTCTATCTCCCAAGATCTAGTCACAATCTTAACCTAATTTTTTTTTTTTGCGTGACTAGAAATAATTCTCTTGTACTATATTTTTCACAATCAGTGTAATATCTAAGTTTTAGTATTAGATAAAGGCCTTTTTGCCAATCCAAGAAGTTTTGAAGTAGTCACAGTCATTTAGGATATTAAAAAAAATCCTGTCACAAACACTGGTGGTTCATGCCTGTAATCCTAGCTGTTTAGGGGACTGAGATTTAAGGATTGCAGTTCAAAGCCAGCCTTAAGCAGCAAAGTCCATGACACTCTTATCTCCAATTAACAGCAAAAATATTGGAAGTAGAATTGTGGCTCAAGCGGTAGAGCTCTAACCATGAATGAAAAAGCCAATCAGTTAAGCCCCATGCATGTATGCACGCATGTATGCAAAAGTCCTTAGTCAAGTGTATGTATCTGGAGAGGCAATGTGACCCATCAGAACTATACTTGGGCTGAGAGCTAGAAAGCCTGCTCTGCCTGAGCAGGTACAGAACTCGGTGACTTGGGTAAAAATCAGCTAGTTTGATCCCATAGGGCCTCCCTCCCTCCTTGGCTGTCTTCATTCGCCAAGTAATGTCATCCTTGTGGCAGGTTACTAGCCAAATGATGCAGAAGCTATCACAGCAGAAAGTCTTAGAAAAAGGAGCCCCAACTAAACCAATTAGGCAGTAGTGAAACAAAATGAAATGGTCTATTTGAAATACTCCCCCTGTATTTTTGTCTATAGGTGGTGATATTCGTGAAGAGTCTTCATATAAAGTAATTGTTGTGCCAACTTCTAAAGAAAAATGTCCCCGCTGCTGGAAGTACACTGCGGAGTCTGCAGACACACTGTGTCCCCGATGTGCAGAGGTGGTTGGTGGAAAGTAAGACTGGTGCTAGCAGCTTTCTGGGAACACTCCCAAGAGTACTGATGGGATGCATTAGGTCAGAAAGAAATACAAGGTTTAGATAAGGAGTGGAAAAGTAATTACTAAAGGATGAGGTCAAAATGAAAACTATAAAAGAAGTATTTCCTGCTTCCTGAGAAATAATGATGTATATATATACATGTGGATATACATATGTATCTGTATACATATATGTATCTGTATCAGACTTATTCAGAACATGGACACTGAATATACTGCTTCCAATATGGCTCCACAGAATATGTTTTATATTTTCTAAAAACCTTTTTTGACTCAGTGTTTTAAGTTCTTGATGTCTGAAAATAAAGGCACTCTGGAAAACTAGTGAGTGATGTCAATGCAGTGTTGGGACGGTGAACAGGTGGCCTGCATGAGTGGGATGGGTGGCCCCCGAGGTGAGACGTCCTCTGACCTTTCAACAGCCAGTGACTGACTGCTGCATCGGACCTTTCAACAGCCAGCGACTGACTGCTGCATCGGACCTTTCAACAGCCAGCAACTGCTGCTTAGGGGAAAAATCACCACATTTATTCTTTAAGAGGAGAAATTTCTTAATACTTACGTCTGTGAGTGTTAAACAAGAAAGCTGAAAATTTATTTCACTAATATACAAGAAGTTCACAACAATGAACACAGAAAATAGCAATATATACAGAATTTCACTCTGCTTACAGTACAACAGATAAAAGAACATTTTATAAACAATCCAGTATAGGATTAAAATCTTTCTGAGAATGGCTAATTGACTCAGCAGACATTTATCTGTTAGGAGCTCAGAAACCCTCCGCCCCATTCCTGTTACCAGGAGAGGCCTGTACCTCTGCTCTGGGGCACTGTGAAAGTATTTGTCTCTTATAAATGAGGAGGACCACAGCAACTGCCAAATGAACATAATCGGCGTAAGCTTTTTATTATTAAATCTTAACTTTTCTTGTGATTTTAAATTACAATTCATCAGTTTTTAAAAAGGCAATTTAAAAGGATTGACTTTGATCTTAGATGAAATGTTATAAAACACAGATTTTTTTCCCCCCTTTTTCTAAATCTGAAGCATTTAGGAGCCTGGTGCTATATACTTCCTTATGTACATTTATCTACATCTCCTTTACCTACTTCTCTATGTCTAGGTGTAATTTGTAGTTATAATTATTTGAACACCTCTTTTTTCCTTTAGCATTATAAAGTAGACGTTAGCAGTGTAAAAAGTATGTAACTTTAAGGAAGGGAGTGTCTGTAGGAAACACTCGTGGTTATTGGCTTCTCTGAACCTGGGCTACCTGTATATGCCTATTCTATGTAAAACCTAATTCTGCTATTTGTAGCTCTTTGTGTAATAGAATGTATACATAGATATTAAATTATTTTTTTTTTTGTGGTCCTGAGGATTGAATCCAGGGCCTTCTAAATTTTTTGGGCTGGCCTGAAACTTGAGATCCTTCTGGGTCTGCCTCCCCAGTAGGTGGAATTATAGGCATGTGCCACCATGACCTGCTTCATTTTTCTTTCTTGTTATCAGATTTATTTTAAAAGCCCTTAGTGAAGCAGTAAAATATTTAACTGCTTTTCCTAACCATTAAACCCAGAATTCAGGTTTTGTATACGTTAAGTTTTATGATGACAAATCTAATAGACTCAATGATTTGTTGAAAGAGTTCTCTGAACCATATTTCAGCTTTTTCTTCAGTATCCCTAGATTTGATTATGGAACCTTCCAGAGTAAGTTTTTATTACTATCTAAAATGCAAGTTCACCCTCCCCCCAAAAAAAGTATAAATGGAATTAGTAGTATCTATAACCCCAAGTTTCTTTGACCACCCTCCTAAATTCATACTACTTTGAGAGTATTTTGAGAATCACAGGAAAAACTAATTCCTTAGAACACATGTAACAAGCGACTACATGAAGCTCAATGCGCTTACAGGATTCTAGGCTGTGTCTGGCAGGGGGAGGGGAGATCAGTGAGGCAGGAGGATGGACCAGCTCAGGCTTTTCCCCGTGCTGCTTCTCTATGCCACCCGCACCTCAGACTCAACATGTCTACCACAGCCACTCAACACCTGAGATATTTTTCTTTCTAGACTTGAAAGTTGATAGCTACATAAACAGTTAAGTCGGGTCTTGCTTGAATGTGATCTTTTAGTAAAAAAAATTCACGTTTGGATATTATATCCTTGAAGGAAGTCCTCCTCAACTGTGCTCAATGCTAGAAATGGCTTTACAAGAAGCGAAGAAACCAAGTTCTGTATCATATGCGTGACTATGAAAAGCTGTGACCCATACCGTAGCTGCACAGTGTGTCTTCATTCCAAACACGCACCACAATACATACTTGTATTTGTGGAGTTCAACACACTTCTTACAGACTTTTGGTTAGTTTGGTTTGGATCAAAAAATATTTATTTAGCACTTGGACTGCTCTAGGCACTGTAGGGTACAAAATTAGTTGTACTGTATCCTTTCAACCCGGCTGTGAGGTAGGTTTGCTAAAGCTAGAGTATCAATAAGCACTTTTCCTGAACATTCTCAAGGACAGATTACACTACCAACCCTAGAAGCAGACATTTCTAAACACTTGTAGGAAAAATAAAGGTGGACTGAAGTATTTTAGAATCCCCTCCCCTTTCTACATAAGTTTTACAAGATAATACATTTTTTTTTTTTTACAATTTCCTGATGTGGATACAACTTGGGCAAATACATCATAGTGATTTTGCTGCATTTGCATCCCAGATCCTCTGTTTTGGCAAGGACTACAAGTTACGGGTGCTACCCGTGTCCCTTCTGAAGGCCTCAAACTCCTTCCTCTCCTCCTCAGATGGCAGCACCTTGGAAAGATGCCTGGCAACACCCAGCACACCCAGGAAGAGAGCTGTGCCAGAAGCAGCCTGTTAGCAAACTTGCTCAGCACTTTTAAAGGAAAGCAGGATGTTCCTCTGACTCTGCATATTGTGACTGGACATGAACACATTTAAATCTTGTCACAACAAGAGGATGAAATGTAGGCTTCTATAAGAACATAATCGATAAATTATAACCAATTTAAATAGCAAAGTTTAACAACAAAACTACTGAAGGGTTTGAATTAAAAACAAACAGTAAACATCTGTATTGTTAAGTATAGTATAATTAATATTTGTTCATATTTTATCTCCAGTATTAACCAAAGGAGTGGATTTTACCCAAGATTGCACTTTTTGAAAGTAATATATATTTTTATTTTACAAAAACAGAAAATGATATATTCCATAAAATTCCAGCTCTTACTATGTAAAATGGCCATGCACTAATTCACGTTTTAGTCACACAAGTTTAGACTATTTTCAATAGGTAAGTGTCATAAAGAAGGAATACATATGGCTTCCACAGCTTCAATAAGGTGCAAGGCTAGACTATACTGCCCGTGGTTTTCTGGCAACAGCTCCATTACTTTATTTACTAGTTTAGCGGTTGTTGTAATGGGCACTTCAGTGTTTTGAAGATCCTGAGGGTTCTGTAAATCAAACACAAAATAACCCATTAGTCATGCACTACCAGTCAATAATGGTGAATGGCTTAAGACATTGCAATAGGTATTTCCCAGTTAAAACACAAAACAAAACATTATACTCTAAATTGTAGCTCTGTATGTGTGTGCGTGTGTGTGTGTTTGGTAATAAGAGTCTCACAGACTTTCCTACTGGGCTGGCTTCAAACCCAGATCCTCAGATCTCAGCCTCCTGAGTAGCTAGGCTTCTAGGTGTGAGCCACCAGTGCCCAGTGGCTCTCATTCTACTGTACTTACCATTGCCTTCAGCCAAGTGCAGAGTGTGGGTGGCAGTCGAGCCAGCAGCTCCATCCCTTCTTTGGTCTGGGTGTGGAGGAGTGCATAAGCCAGCCTCTGCCCTGTCAGCACCAGCAGCTGAGAGGCCAGCACCTCTTTGTCATGGACCTGCAGAATGGCCTGCAGTGTGAACAAGGAGAAATAATACAGTGAGCACCAAGCAGTCATCTATTCTAGAAAGTAACTGCCAGTGAGGAGATCCTAGTTGACTTTTTAGCAGTGGCCTTGTATATACCCAAGGAAACTTAGCATTTAAACCTGACTCTCCAACATGGGCCCTAGTTTTCCTTTATTACATAATTTTTCAATGCAGGAGAACTGTATAATGTCTTACTTTCAAGTGTTTGACAAAGAAGGGATTACGGTATGTAAGATCATGTCATGAGTGCTGACAGCCTCATGAATGTACCGTGAATGACCGTGGGCACGACACTGTCCGTGCTGGGGTCCCCCAGCCCCCCTCCTCACGTCATATTTCGTTACTCCTGTGTTTGACAAGCACACCGGGTTTTCTAGTCCTCCACCCACCCAAGCTAGCCCCTGCCTTGGGCCTTTGCATGAATATACTCTGTACTTCTCTCGTTTTCTGAGTGGCTGGCTGCGTCTTACCTTGGGGATTCAGCAGTTGTGCTCTCTCACTACCTGCTATGGCCCTGTTTATTTTCTTCATAGCATGTAATGCTCAGAACACAATTTATCATGCTCTTCTCCCCCTCTGGAAGACTATCAATTTCATGAAGAATTGCCTGTTTTGTTTACAGATTTATCCTTGTATACTGAGCATGCCTGGAACACTTAGGAATTTACTTATTTTATTTTTTATTGTGAAAATACTGTACAGAGCAGTTACAATTACATGGGCAAAATAATGAGTACATTTCTTATCAAGCATTGTTGCCTCCTCCTTTGTTTCCCCTTCCCATCCCCACCTCTGCACTACTCTCCCCCCACTTAGGAATTTATTTAGCTACAATTTGTATTCCTTTTTTTCTACATTTTTGCCTCAAAGTTCTAACAAAAAAGCAAAAAGCTGTTCTGGAGACTTTACTGACTGCGCCACCCATTGGCTTTGTAACCTCAGCCTCATTAGCATTCCCGAGTCATTATTACCTCTTCTGCTAAGTGGTCAACTCCGTGGTTGTAGAGCTCCCCCACATAATGCCTTCGAACTACATCTTCGTTAACTTGAAGGTGATGGGATAAGTCCATGGCCAACCCTGGCCAGTCTGGGTCTTTCCCAGGAGTAGTTGCTGCCTCTTCTGAACAGTCCTGGTCCTTGGCCACTGAATGCTGGGCCTGAACAGCTGCACTAACAACTTTCAACAAGAACTTGAGAATGGAGAGAGACAGAGCAGTGCTTCATTAGTATGGGTTTTCTGTCAGTGACTCTTTCATTAAAACTTTCACTGTCCAGAAAAATGGAAACTAGCTCTTGAGAATACCTCATTCTTTTGAAGGACAGCTAGATTTTTGCTATCCTCTTTTTCTTCCCAAGAAACAAGAATGAAATCCAGTAACAGTAAATTACCTGTTGTCGTATAGAAATAAAATTTGGATCCATTTCCCCACTTGGTAATAACTGAATTGAAGTTAGGTCTTTGAAAAACGCATTTTTTCCCTAAATAGAAGGAAATGAAGAAAATGCTGATTACGAGTTATTAAGGGAGGAAAAAAGAAAAGATTTTTAAAAACAAGTCACTGAATTATGAATAGTTTATGGTTGACTTTAACTCTTTCTGTAAACAGTAGCATTGAACAGTTCTACTACTTAATTTTTTATGACAGTAATAAAGTATGTGGGGGGCAGCCAGTGGTCCCCAATGGCCACCTCCTCTAGGGTATTCATGCCATAGACCATTCCATCCTCTAGACTGGGGGCTGGTGACAGCACATCACTCCCAAGAAAGGACTGTGGCTTCTGCCTTGAGCACTCATACATGTGAGGGAAGACAGCAACCTTGAGCTGCCCTATGGAGAGAAACATATCTATGGCAAAGAACTTAATCCTGCCAACAGGCCCAGAAGTGGCTCACTGTCCCCATCCCAGTTGAGCCTTTACATGAAGCAATATCCCACGTCAATATGCTAACTATAACTACGTGAGACATTATGCAAGAAGCATCTAGATACAGTCAGATACCTAACCCAAAAATTGAGGTTAGAAGCCAGGTGGTGGTACATGCCTATAATTCCAGGTCCAGACAGGAGGATGATTCTGAGCACATCCTAGGCTACAGAGTAAGATTCTATTTCAAACAAAAACCCTAGGCTGGGGATATAGCTCAATGGCAGAACACTTGTCTACCATATTCAAGGCTCTGCATTTGATCCCTACCACTGAAAAGCAAACAAATACAATTATTAGTGGTTTTCAGCCACTAAGTTTTGAGATCAACTGGTAAGCAGTAATAGTACTAAGCCTATGTAATCTAAATCTTTTTAAAAAAGTATTTGTTGACTCATTTAAAATATCTTAAGAGTTAAGTAGAGTAAGTCAGAAAAATCAGGAGTATCAGTAGATAGTACACAAGAAGTTCCTAGGCAGGAAATGTACTACAGAACAAAGAGCATTGATCTTTAAGTCAGAAGACCAAGTGTCTATCTCAAAACCCACCATTTTCAATCAGATTATACCTTGGGCAAACGACCCTACCACAACTGGTTATTATTTTACTGTTTATGGTACTGGGATTGAACCTAGCAAGTACTCTACCACTTGAGCAATGCCTCCCTCTCCCACCCCGCCACACATACCTTGAATTTTTCTTTTGAAAATAAAGTATCCTGAGCATTTTCAGATATAGCTTCCACATCTTAGATGTAGAGGTCTAAAACTATACTATTTATTATTTACCATGTGGCAAACTTGTTAATAGGTACTTTCTGTTGAATATGTTAATTAACTCATGCGGAAGGCACTAAAACCATCAATCATCCAAGACAGGGAATTCAGGAGGCAAAGCAAAGTTGAGTCAGGACACAACAGGGTGAGAGTCTGCAGATCTTACATATGAGGAACCCTAAGTCCCTTAGGGCATTCAAAGAAAGATATATGAACTACGTAGGTCACACAGAACTGAACAACTTTTATTTAGTAAGAAAATCTGCGTGTCTGCTACCCTGCCACACTTATATGGCTCTCAGGTCTTTTGGGACATTCACTTACCTTACTATCGAAAAGTGCAAGTGGCTTCACAGTCTTCAGAGAGAAGCGCATGACTGCGTAGAGGATGGAGCAGAGGATGGAATGGTGCTCCACCAGTGGGTAGTGGATGTGCTTCTGCTCGAGGGCCAGTTCCACTATGGAGATTGGGCCTTCCACAGAGAGCCAAGCATCCTCAGTGTCCAGGACAGGCACTTGCATTTCATCCCTGCTAACGTCTGCCTAAGGGTTTGCAGAATGCAGGACTGAATTAAGAACTGGACAAATATAGTCTACTAATATCCTGATGACTTCCTGAAGCAAAGCGTAAACCCATGTTCTATACCCCCATGATAGTAAAAGAATATCAAGTCTAATAAGAATACTACTATTGTTGGACTTAAATCAGTCTCAAAATGAAAAATAATCTCATCACAGCAGTCTTTTCTTAAGGCCAGTGAAGTTCAGATTACTTAATATCTTAGTCACCACTCAGAATGAAGGGTCTCACTACACAGCCCAGACCGGTCTTGAGCTGCCTTAGCCTCCTTGACTGCTTAGATTACAAATATGCTGCCATAGCTGGCTAGAATATACCACTTTTACCTCTAGTAATGTCTGAAGAAGGTCTAAACAGGAGCCCAGGAAAGATGTCATTGCTGTGTCACTCATCCCCACATCCTGTTTCAAAATGGAACATAATCAGTCCTGAACCAAAACAGCTATTAGCAGCAGAAAACAAGAAGATTCCACACATCTGTTCACCCTACTCTACTCTGAACAGACAAGAATTTGAAGTCATAGGCATATTTAAGTTCCCTAAAAAAAAAAAAATTAGTGTTCTCCTTTATTATCCTAAAATTGTGCTACTGAGAAGTAACACAGATAATGCTAATAAAAATGTATGCTAAAAAAAAGTTGTGTTCTAGGAAGGCGTGCAGCTCAATGGTAGAACATGTGCTTAGACTATACAAAACTATGGGATCAGCCCCCAGCATATACACATAAAAGGGTACAAAAAACTAGTATTCTTTGTGTATTATAAAGACACTTCCACATTGCTACTCAACTTACCAAGAAATAGATACAGGTAATACAGAGACATGAGACATGAAATATTATCATCAAAGAGCCTTGTCTGTTTTCACTGTATCTTGAGAGACTAAACTGAACCTTCTGAACAAAACTAAAATTCCTTAGCTTGAGAACTACTAGATTCATGCTGTGGGCAGCTAGTTAATGAGGGCTAGAGTCCTGTGTCCCAGCATTTCTTAAGCCATTTTTAATAATATTTCAAAGTTTTGAGTAAAAGTTCTGAGTGAAAGTAGCCATAAGTACAAGCACAGTATCTGTCGATTAGAACTCTATTTAGAGCAATGTTGTATTTGAACAATGGCTATTACATATGTGAAGATTAAGGAAACTACTCAAATGCCTCTGACTCAATGTGATGCTGGATTAACATGTGGGAGGCATAGCGTGTTACTGTACCATTCAAAGTCCAAAGATGAATGTGTCTTAAGAAAACTTAAACATGCTAACTTCACAGTCTGGAAAGGTGAATTAAAATTGGCCATAGTTCATGACCACTTCCTTAATATATTAGTTTCTATTTCTCTTATCTCCTGCTGTGTCATCCAAATGCTAAAAGGCATAGTTCACCTCTTCAGTTAATCAAGTACAACGTTAAGTTTAGGATTAACAACTGTACTTGTATAATTAAGAGATTCACTTACCCTTCGGCATAACCTATCCTTTGGTGATTTTCCAACCTGAGACAAAAAGGACACAAAATATTGTAATATTTAAAATTTAAATAAAAAGGCACTACAATAGACTAGGCATTTAAAAGTAATCAGACTTACAAACTACAAATACAACAGTAAGTGTATGTGACCTATAAATAATTGGTTACCAGTAGGTCCAATTAATTTTATAATGGAATTCACAAGTATATCACAAAAACATGACATTGAGCTTGTAATCATTTTCAAAAATTTTATAAACATGTTTTGTGTGTATAAGTACTGTGCGTATGTATGTATGTGTGTATTTTGGGACAGGGTCTCACTATATAATCCTTGAATTCAATATGTTTCTGCCTCAGTCTCCTGAGGGCTGGAATTACAGGCCTGTATGACAACCTCAGCTAAAATAATAAACTTTTGAGCTAAAAAAAGTTTCTGCTAGGTGTGGTGATATACTCCTGTAATCCTAGACCTCAGGGGCATCAGGCAGGAGGATTTTGAGTTTGAGGCCAGCCTGAGCTACATAATAAGACACAGGGAGAGGAGGAAAAAAAGAAAACAAAACAAAAACCTCTAAAAATGTAAAATAACTGTGTTGTCTTAAGAATGCAGAACCATACTCAAGGCTTGTCGATACAGATGAAATAGTTTTAACAGAAAGATGGAGAACACTCTTAACACAGACAAGCTTGTCTACTTTAGCTCATCTTTCCAGCTGCAGAAGATTTCCTTGATTCAGTTGGTGCTTATTAGGATTCAACTCTATATATGTCTCCAGGGGGAAGAGGAGGTGAAAACAGTGCCCTCAGGAGCACTGCTCCACAAGTCAAGAAACTCACAGAGTGCAGTGGAGTCTGATACCAGTCTTCCTCCCCTCATTACTCTTAACATAGTGCACAGACTCTGGGCAACTAAGCTCAGCCCAATCCAATCTTATGATGCCAGAATATTGCTAGAATCATCCTTTAAAACATATCTGAGCATGTAACTTATAATGAACCAATGTGTTCAGTATCAAGCAATGGGCTCTATTTACTGAGCCCTTTGAGCTAAGCAGAGACGAATGCTAAGCAGTTCACATGCACTAGAAAATTCAAGCACTGTCTGCAAAGGAACAGCTTCCAGCTCAGATGATTTTATCAATTATTTTTATTTTTGGTGGTACTAGTTTTACTCAGGAGCTTGCATTTGTTAGACGAGCACTCTACTGCTTGAGCTACACTTCCAGCCCTTTTTGCTGCAGTTATTTTTCGAACAAGGCCTCGTGCTTTTTGCCTGGGAGCTAGCGGCAGACCTGATCCTCCTCCCTGTGCCACTGAGGCACGTGGGCTTGCAGGCCTAATTCATCATGCTCAACTCATTTGTTGAGATGGTAGTCTCACTAACTTTTGCCCTGATTTACATTTCTGCCCTCTTCTTCCTGAGTGCTAGCTACAAGTCAGGCATGAAGCACAGTGCCCACCTCAACTTTGTGGGCTGAATATGAACTGTCCTCCATAGGCTCGTGTGTTGAATGCTTGGTTTCCAGCTAGTGGTGCTCTGTATACTTTGGGCTTTGAGGGTTTCCAATCCCTTACTACCCCACCCCTCCCCTTCTCCGCCTTCCTATCTGCCACGAGGTGAGCAGCTTCCTCCTCTAGTATGGTCCTACCACAATGGTCTGCCTCATCACAGCTCAGAATCAAGACAGCCAAGGACTACGGACTGAAATCTCTGAAATTATGAGCTAAAATAACCTACTCCTCCTTTACATTGTTTATGCCAGGAATTTTGTTACAGCCCCTTATACACCTAGTTTCTCTTTTATTGTGACAGCCTATGATCTAGATAGCTCTCTGAATCCCGCCAGTCACCTCCAGTACTGGACTACATTTTCTTCTGACCTGCTTTTCATTGTTTCATAAGTACTCATCTACCAAACTTCAAGTAAGAAGTTTTATCGCTTCTCTTCTTTTTGCACTCCCAAAATTCCTTATGTTACTTTCTCCTATTATTCTCTTAAAAGAGGGCAGTCAGAAGTGATGCAGAATAAGAAATCATCACAAGGACCAAAAGAAGCAAGTTACAGGGAAGTAATTAAGCAGGCAAGGAAGGGAAACACAGAAAGGATGGTTAGATTTTTTGTGTGTGTATGAAATGCTAAAGATGTTTAATATTAAGACCGTGTGCATACTAAGTAAGTATGTGCTCTACCACTGAGCTGTAGCCCCAGACTCACGATAGTTAGAAAATTGTCAATGCCATCACACAGAGCAATTATTTTTGGTCATTGGGCTTGAACTCAGGGCCTGGGCGCTGTCCTTGAGCTCTTTTTTTTTTGGGGGGGGTCCAGTCGTGGGGCCTGAACTCTGGGCCTGGGCTCTGTCCCTCAGCTCTTCAGCTCAAGGCTAGCACTCTACCACTTGAGCCACAGCGCCACTTCCGGCTTTTTTTTTCTTTTTGCTTATGTGGTGCTGGGGAATCGAACCCAGGGCCTCAGGCATGCAAGGCAAGCGCTCTACCACCATCCCAGCCCATCCTTGAGCTCTCTTTGCTCAAGGCTAGCACTCTACTACTTTGAGCGACAGTGCCACTTCCAGTTTTTTGGTAGTTACTTGGACTTTCCTGACTAGGCTGGCTTCAAACCACGATCCTCAAATCCTAGCCTCCTGAGTAGGTAAGATTACAGACATGAGCCACAAGGTGCTGGCATCAAAGCATTTTCAAGGGAAGCAGTGACCCAACCAAAGGTGTCTGAGTTGTGATGCTAAACATGACATCAGAGTGGTTGGTATACTGGCGATTCTCTTGATTCACTTAACTGATGCCAGATTAGTCTACTATCTTGACTAGTCTGTAAAAAGTACTAACTAACTGGTCTCTCTGGCTACGCAGCTTGATGCTGGACAGATATCCCAGTTGGCAAACAGATTCTCATCCTAGTAATTAAATTCTATGTTCACATGTTATTCCCAATCTACTCATGTGCCTACATAGTTATTGTTATTATGTGACTTAATGAGATATGAATGAGGAAAAATGGAGCTGTTTATATTAAGGCTATGTTGAATACTTTAAAACAATTTGTAGAGAAGAATAAATAACTTTCTAGGGCTGTTGGAAAACATATACTGTTAGGGACAGAAAATTTTAAGATTTTACATTTAGCAAAAGCTTCAAATAAACAGGATCTAGATATGGACAATTTATTATGAATGAGGTTTATTCAAGAAAGCCAAACTAATACTCTAGCCAACTCTATTCCAAGAAAGTATCTTGGGTATAAATGCAGAGATTGGTAAATTAAGCATGTATAGTCATATGTGTGAGTTTAAAGTAAAATGTCAATTCCTTATTTGAATTTATCAGCTATCATGTCTTTTGCCAAAAAATGTCTTTGGACGAGACATTTACTATGCTCTGGTTAGGGATCTTCCTCAGGACATTAAAATGCCAGTACTGGAAATTACATTTAACATAGCATGAATGAACTGAAAAGCCAAAACAAAAAACAAAAACAAACAAACAAACAAAAACCTAAAACTAGTTCAAGCTGGGGGCTAAGGGCTCATGCCTGTAATGCTAGCTACTCAGGGAGACTGAGATCTGAGGATTGTGGTTCAAAGCTAGCCAAGGCAGGAAATCCGAGAGACTCTTATCTTCAATTAACCACCAGAAAACCTCAAGTGGTACGGTAGCCCAAAGTGGTAGAGCACTATAGCCCTGAGCTAAAAGAGCTCAGGGACAGCACCCAGGCTCTGAGGTTCAAGCCCCAAGATTGACCAAAAATAAAAAGGTCAACAAGGCTCAGTGTTAATGATCTTATATCAGTCAACTAAATTAAGGGAACTCATGAGTAAGAAACAACATACAATTCAAAACTATCTTACCTTATCCATCAAGTATGTAGCAGCAGAAAACCTTTTAACCAAGAACGTATTCCACATCATCAGCGCAATGCCTAGAAGGCAGGGTGAAAGCCGAGTGGGAAACAGAAGGCTTATACAGTGTCACTGGATCATACTAGACAAATTACTGTCCTAAGCTAACTGAACTACTATATTTCCTATATCTTATACAGTATTTAGGAAGCTAATGAGCCCTTCATCTTAAAAAAAAATCATGTTAAGTGGTTGTACAGCGGCTATAATTCCATATGTCGGGTTATGAATACAGTAACCCAACTGGTGATATTGTCTTGATCAATACAACCCCACCCCACCCTCAAGTAACATAGTTCAGTTTTTATGATATACAGTGAATTATCATGCTGCATTTACTCTCCCTTCCTCCCTCCATCTGTGTACCCCTCCTTGTCCTTCCCCCTAAACATGTTGCTGCTGCTTGGTATTCATTTTTTAAAGTACTTAATCAGTTTGAAACTCTAATGAAAATCAAAACTAGGCTGTGGAAGAGTATATCAAAATGGCAAGTACGGATAATAAATGACTTACACACCATGAGTGACAAGAAAAAAAGAAAAATCACAGTATCACATAACCTCCAGCAAGGCTTTGTCTGTCTACCTGTCTATTTGTCTGTCTTTGTAAAGCTGGGGATCAGGCCCAGTGTGTATATTAAGCAAGGCTCCACCACTGAGCCAAACATTTTAAATGGTAACACCAAATGCTGGTGATTATGTGAAACAAATGGAGAATAAACTACAGGTAGGGTAAGTTGACAAAATCACTTGGAAAACTCCTTGACAGGATCTACTAAAGCCACATGTCTACCCCACCACCTAGAAATTCTACTCATAAGAAATGAGTAACAAGAGATATGGAGAAGACTAAACATTTGAGACCAGCTTGATTCATAAATTATATTCACTAAACTGTGCCATTAAAATTGTAAGAGCCGACCATATTAGGTAGCATAAACCTAACATTTCAACTTGGGAGACAGATGAAATTACCACTAATGCCCTTTCCCCTTCAGAAGAACATTTTTGCAAGCAGTTAAAATGGCAGTACTTTGCATATGGCAAAACACCTAGATGGTGGGGTGAGCAAATAAAAATTATGAGGATAAATATGTGCACCCTCATATCCTGCTAAAGCAGGTGTTCTCTTTGAATCAATTTTTTTTTCAATACTGGAATCTGAACTCTGAAGGTCTTGTACTTGATAAATAAGCACTCTTGAGCCATGCCACCCAATCGATGACATTTTGGACTTTAGTGCTGGTAGTAGAGATTGAACTCAAGCGTCTTGTGTTGGTAGGCAGGAATAAAATAGACCCTTTTGGCCTTAGTCAGTTTTGCAGGAGAGTCTTGCTGTGTGTATGCCTGGAATGGCCGGCTTTGCTCCCCGCCCACCTCTTGTAACTAAGATGATAGGTGCACCTACCACCCCGCCCCACAGACCCACTCGTTGAGATGAGAGTCTCACAAACATCTAGGTAGGGCTGGCCTGGAGCCACTCCCTCAATCTCTGCCTTCCCAGTAGCAGGGATTACAGGCTGGAGTCATCATACCCAGTTATTGTTTGGGGCAACTATTTACTTACCATTCTGAACATGTGCATTAAGAATGTGCTTCAAGTGTTCTATTGACCTGACAAAATAACGTGCTTCCTTATTAATAGAAGAAAAGAGAGGGAAAAAAGGTTATTTAAGAAGTGCTTTAAATACCAATGGGAGAGACTTCTTACACAAATTTCTGCATAAAGCTATTTAATAATGTTACAATAATAAAATGTTAATTAGGTAGAGGTAGGAGCATAACACATTCAAGGCTAGGTATTTCTGCAACAATTAACAGGCCAGCCTGGGCTACATAGCAAGATCCTGACTCAAAAACCAACCAACCAAGCAATTACATAAACAGAAAACTATGGGATTACTTAGGTATGAAGTAACTTGTGATTAAACAACATGATTAATTCCTCGAATATCCCAGGTCATACATGCTGGAATAAAGATTCAAACTCACTGTGTTTTTGTATACCACCACACAAGTTTTCTCTCCAGTGAATTCTTCAATTTCACACAGATGTGAAAACAATGAGTTTATTCTTATAAATGAAATACCTCCATTCATCATTCAACAAGGTTTACTGAGCAGCCACTATGCACCAAACTTTGAAGCATCAAGGATAAATATATGTACTAATGAGCTCAGAGGCAGCCTTAACATGCCATGTGAGCACACTATGAAGTGTGTTACTATTAAATGCTATGGAGAAAACTTAGAACAGTAGGAAAATATGAACTATCAGAGGGATGTCTTAAGTTCTCTTTAAATATCAGTTTATCTATTAAAACCCAAATACAATGATGATCCACTTTTTTGCTAAATAATTTACCACTGCCAACAAACATGCTGGTGGAAATTGGTAATTCCCAAAGGTAATCAATTGTTTTAAGCCTACTAAAGTAGTATTATGAAATAGGCTGGCACAGGGGTTGAATGGTGCCAGAAAATTAAAAATTAATAGGATAATATAAGCAATTCTTCCAACAATGATTACAGTAATGTAAATACCAGGCATCATGCACAAATATTAATCTATAAACTACTATAAACTTGGGTGATGACCAATGATAGCCTTCGTTTCAGAAGAATTTGAAATAAAGGGTTCAGAGACATTTCCAAAGGTCACATGTGGTGTGTTAAAATGATTAGATATAAGCCAGGCACCAGTGGCTCATGCCTATAATTCTAGCTACTCAGGAGGCTGAGATCTGAGGATTAGGGTTCGAAGCCAGCCTAAGCAGGAAAGCTTACAAGACTCTTATCTCGAGTTAAGAACCAAAATAAAGCCAGAAGTGGAGCTGTGGATCAAGAGGAAGAGCGCTAGCATTGAGCAAAATTGGCAGCTGTGTCTATTATGCAAACAACCTCTGGTTCATAAACCACATGCTCTTGGGTTTTCTTTGTTTTCCTTTTTTTTTTTTTGGTCGGTCATGGGGCTTAAACTCTGGGCCTGGGCGCTGTCCCTGTGGCTCCTCAGCTCAAGGCCAGCATTCTACCTCTTGAGCCACAGCGCCACTTCCAGTTTTCTAGTGGTTTACTGGAGATAAGAGACTCACGGACTTTCCTGACAGGGCTGGCTTTGAAACATGATCCTCACATCTCAGACTCCTGAATAGCTACGATTATAGGCATGAGCCACCAGCGCCTGGCTTCCTTCTTTTTTTTTTAAACACAGATCTTGCTATGTTGCTCAGGCTGGCCTCAAACTCCTGGGCCAAGCGATCATACTGCCTCAGCCTCCAGAGTATATGGGACTACAGGTATTACTCACAGAGCCTGGAGTATCTTCTGGTCAGTCTGTCGTTCCATCTCTCCTCCCTGCCCCTCCTCTCTGCCAATATGGGAGTTTATACTCAGCACCCTGTACTTGCTCAGCTTGCTTCCTTGGATGACTCTCTACCACTTGGGCCATGCCCCTAGTCGGTTAACTGTTACCTTCTTAGACTTGAACTGATTCATTCAGATTTTAAAAATTATTGTATCCTCTGGCTCTAACATTCCTTTTTCCGTAGACTAGAAAAGTGTGCCATTTGGGGCTGGGAAGTTGGCTCAGTGGTACAGTGCTTGCCTTGCATGCATGAGGCTCTGGGTTCGAGTCCTCAGCACCACATAAGCAGAAAAAAGCCAGAAATGGCACTGTGGTTCAAGTGGTAGGGCACTAGCCTTGAGCTGAAGAGCTGAGGGACAGCGCCCAGGCCCAGAGTTCAACTCCCAGGACAGACCAAAAAAAAAAAAAGCGCCATTTAAAAAGTAGAGATCTTAAGACAGTCTCCAGTGGCTTAAGCCTGTAATCTTAGCTACTCAGCAGGCTGAGATCTGAAAATTGCAGTTCAAAGCAAGCCCATACAGGAACATCTGTGAGATTCTGATCTTCAGTTAACACCACCAAGCTTAATAGAGTTCTGGCATTGAGCAGAAATGCTCAGGGATAGCACCCAGGCCCTCAGTTTAAGCCCCAGGATCAACCCCCACCTCCAAAAAAGTAGGTTTTGTTGAGATTTTCTTTTTTTTTTTTTTGGGTCCGGTTGTGGGGCCTGAACTCTGGGCCTGGGTGCTGTCCCTCAGCTCTTCAGCTCAAGGCTAGCGCTCTACCACTTGAGCCATAGCACCACTTCCGGCTTTTTTCTTTTTGCATATGTGGTGCTGAGGAATCAAACCCAGGGCCTCAGGCATGCAAGGCAAGCGCTCTACCACTGAGCCACCTTCCCAGCCCGAGGTTTTCTTTTATGAGAATGTAATGTACAGAAAATATAGAAAAAAAATTTAATTTGAGAGATGTAATCTACCAGAGCACTAGGGGAGTCTAGGTAAGGGGCTGACTAGCAAAGAGCAATCCTGTGTCAGCCTGGAAGGACAGGCTCCTTTATGAAGGGGCTAAGGTGTTAAGACAAAACGTAGGTCACAAATTGAGTGGCAAGATGGGCTCCAAACCCAGGCTTGGGTCCTCCTTCCAGTGTGGCTTTCAAACCCTGAATGCCCAGGGAGAAACATGGCTACAGAAAGGAGAGGAAAACAAGGCCTGGGAAGCAGAGAGTTGAAAGGAAAGCAAGGCCAACAGTGGACAGGAAGTCAACCATGTGCATCTGGCTCTTTCTACTGTTCTTCTGAGACACAGAATCTGAACAATCAATTTGCTGGCAGGCATCAGGATCTTCCACTTTTGTCAAGATGATTATCCTAAGAATATTTTATTAGCTAGATGACATCTCACACAGAAATTCCAAAAGTTAAAAAAGGTACTTGTATAATTCAGTGGGGAGTTGAGCACCTTAGTTTTAAATTATGATGCTTATTTATTGGTGTACATTTAGCAGATGTAACTTCTCTGTGCCCTACTTTTCTGGAGTGAGGATAATGACAATGCCCACTCTTCACAGGTATACAGTGACCACTAAAAAAGGTAACTTATGAAAAGGGCTGAGTACAGTTACTATACAGTTACTATATGCCATAATAGGGAAAACCAGTGTTAACAGTAAGTTGCTTAACAGTCCCATAAGCACACAGCAGGAACAGAGAGCAAAACAGATCAGCATGAATTGGCAATGGGGATCTTACCTCTGGATCTTTATTCCACTGAACAACATACTCCCAGCAGCAGTGTGCATGCAGCACATCGAGCTCTAGGCTACAAGGAAACTGCTCATAGGCTAAATGCAGCAAGTCTGAAAGTCAGAAGAAAGGGTCATGTTATTCCTTCCCAATGAAGAGTCCATACTTCTCTCCACTCTGGGCATCATAATTGCATTATTTGTGTATCACCTGGTATGGCTCCTAAGTCTGTCCCCTCCTCCGACATATCTAGGAGACGTTTGTTAAGTCCTTCTTCATGTTCATCTGGATTTTCAACATCTTCTTCTTTATTAGCCAGTTTTAACAGTTCGGGGCTGAGGTCCTGTTTAAATACCCACTTGGCCACACTGTCTGCAATGCCACCTACAGGTGGAGGACAAAAAAGAAAATGAAAACTTGTGGAACATGAACCCCAGTGCTTGGTAAACGGAGCCAAAACAGTGCATAATAAGCACTTGCTTTGGAAGAAGCCTAAGTACCACATGCAGTTTTGAGGCATAGAAGTTATAGCAGCATCACTACCTATCACTCTCAGAAAGTATAGGCAAGGGGCTGGGAAGGTGGCTCAGTGGTAGAGTGCTTTCCTCGCATGCATGAGGCTCTGGGTTCGATTCCACAGCACCACATAAGCAGAAAAAGCCAGAAGCAGCGCTGTGGCTCAAGTGGTAGAGTGCTAGCCTTAAGCTGAAGAGCTGAGGGACAGTGTCCAGGCCCAGAATTCAAGCCCAATGACCAACAACAACAAAAAACAAGTATTAGGCAAATATAATGTACATAAATTCATGCCTACACTACAAACCAGACACTACCCATGTCTGTGGAATAGAAAATTTACCTTACCAGACACAGATGAAAGAATGACTATGTTTTTAAAAACGTTCACTTTTATTATAAGGGAAAACAGATTAATATTAATTAGCATGACTCTTGTCTTGTCTCCCTACAACAATACAGCTTTCTATCTTTTGAGACAAGATTTTACTGTTGCTCAGGCTACCTTGAACTTTCATTCCTCTTAGCACAGCCTCTTGAGTGACAGATGCATGTGACATTATGTCCTGCCTCTAATAGTATTTTTACTAGACCCTAACTTGCCTATATAAAATATTGAGAAAAAATTTAGCCACAACTAATCAATAATGTTTCAGCCATCAATAAAGTAAAAATAATTGTAGAAGCAAGCTGACAAACATTCAAGAGGCATGAAGCCCTATTTTCTACCTGAAGCAAGTTAAACATTAAGAACATTCAAAAACTCCACATCCCCATTATGAAAAAGGGTCATGGGGCTGGGAAGGTGGCTCAGTGGTAGAGCGCTTGGCGTGCATGCATGAGGCCCTGGGTTCGATTCCCCAGCACCACATAAGCCAAAAAAAAGCCGGAAGTGGCGCTGTGGCTCAAGTGGTAGAGCACTAGCCTTAAGCTGAAGAGCTGAGGGACAGCGCCCAGGCCCAGAGTTGAGGCCCCACGACTGGACCCCAAAAAAAAAAAAAAAAAAGAAAGAAAAAGGGTCTTGCTATGATTCCCATGAACTTCTCTCCCACCATAGTCTCCCAAGTAGCTGGGACTCTAGGTGTATACCACCACATCCAGCTTCCCTGTAGTAAAGTAGTAAAGTGCTTGCTTATTAATTCTTCAAGCCCCTGAGTTTGATCTTCAACATCACTAAATAAATAAATAAATAAATAAATCTGCCAGGCATATGTGGCTCATGCCTGTAATCCTAGCTATTCAGGAGGCTGAGATCTGAGGATCACAGTTTAAAGACAGCCCAGGTAGAAAAGTCTGTGAGATTCTCCAATTAACCAGCAAAGAGCCGGAAGTGGAGCTACAGCTCAAGTGGTGGAGGGCTAGTCTTGAGCAAAAAAGTTCAGGGATAGTGCTTATGCCCTGAGTTCAAATCTCAAGAGTAGCGCGTGCGCATGCATATGTGTGTACGTGCGCGTGCACACGCACGCACACACACACACACACACACACACACACACACAAACAAAAATTACCCCCCCCACACACACATTGAAACAAAAATTACCCCCAAACAACAACAAAGACAAAAACCCAAAACCTTTCCATAAAGAGTGCTTTACAGAAAACTCAAAGATATCAGATAAATGGAAGTAGTATGCTGGGTAATTTAATTTCTCATGCTGGGCTTCTAAATTACTTGACAATTTGTATTCTAGAATTAAACCTTTGATTATTTTTTTACATTAGTTATAAAGTGGTGTTCCTATGCTTTCAATAGATGGCACCTAAGTATAATGAGCTTACAACTAAACTGTCACACTAGCAACAGTGGCTCATACCCAGCAGGCTCATGACCCTGCCCGTGCTAGCCTTATGGGAGGGTGAGATCAGGAGGATCACAGTACCAGGTTGGGGGCGGGGCGAGGGGGGGGGGGAGGGGAAGGGAATAGGAGAGGGGGGGGGTAGTGTGCATGAATCCATGTTCATGGAAGGAAGTTGCACACATGGTAGTGTACAACTGTTAGAGATCAAGTTCAAGTGTGGGCCCAGGAGGAAAGCTAGAGCCTTTTCTAAAAATATCCAACAAAAAAACAGGATGGGAAGCAGGGCTCAGGGGTAAAGTACAAAGCCTGACAAGCTCAAGCCCTGCGTTCAAACCCTAGTGCTATTCAAAAGAGAAAAAAATGATCACAAGTCTAAAAACAAATGAGGAAACAAGGACTGGGGGCCTGGCAGAGCACCTGCCTACCAAGCTCAAGACCCTGTTAAGCCCCAATACTCAAAAAAAAAGGAGGTGGGGAGAAAACAAGACACATACACACATGCATTCTCATCATCATTCCCATCATATGTCACACAATATATGATGCTCCACACCTCTGGCACTCTGCCATGTAGTCCATAGACTGTACCTCCAGGACCATAACCAAAATACAGCTCTTTTCTTTATAAAGTACTTTGCCTTTTCTGTATAAAATAGGTGATTATAACAACATAACACTAAGACAAAAATAAGTCTCAGAATGGACAGAAAAGACACACATGCTTAGTCTACTTCTGAATTGGAAGAGTTGGAAGTTTAAAGCATAACTGGACCTTAGCAGGTGCAATTTGAAATGCGTACTTTGAACTTCTAATTAAAAAGAAAAATAATGAGAAAACAAGTTAATAAAATAAAGATTCAGAAATACCTGGGTATTTAATAAAGCTAGCAATGTAGGCATCCTGGTACCAAATAGCTAACAGAGCTTCTGATAAGAAAAGTAAGCACCCAAAGAAGATCAGAACTGAATGATGCTTATGATCCTACATGATCTAACCACAGGAATAATAATGTCTCTGCCAGGGTAGAAGAGAAGAAGACAAACACCTTGTGTCCTCACTTACACAGGAAGCTACAAAGGTGATCTTACAGACAGAAGCAGCGTATGAGAGCCGTCAGCAGAGGCTGGGATGTGTGAGTGTTGGGGTGGGGGGGAATGGAGGATGGGTAGAAGGGGTCCACAGGATAGGAGGAATAACCTCTACTGTTCTACACACAGTCACATCACAACAACTATATTTTACAATATCAACAACAGAGGACTTTTGACTGTCCGTAACATAAAGAAATGCCAATCACCTGGATCTGTTCATGGCAGGCTGCATACATATATTAAAATGTCACACTATACACCATCCATTATCTGGTCAGTATGTGGCAAAAAGAAAATATTTAAGAAAATAAAAAAGATTACAAAAAAAAAGAAAGAGAAATAAAGTTTTGTGGAGATCAAGAACAAAAAGATTCAGGTGCAAATGCTGAAATAAACTTCTGCTTACCTTTTCCTCCTTCTAGCAGTTTTTTAACCGAGAGCCTGGGAAGTGGCTCTGCTTGCAGCGATGACACTTTGGAGGTTCGAGTGCTGCCCTTGGTATGAAGCAGAGTCTGAAGTAGCAGACAGTCCTCCAGCTGTTTCAGCAGAAGTTTCCAGTATTCAGTATCAAGAGAAAGAGCCTCCCAGGAATCAGTGAGGGCCTCAGCATCAGCACCCAAAGCTGTTTGGGAAAACTAACAGAAAATGTCCACGTGATTCTCTGCTTTTAGAGAGAAAGCATGGCCAATTAAGGTACATAATTAGGCAACACACAAAGGCTGTTCTGCCTCACTGAATGAGAGGAGGGACATTTACAAGGGGTCTAGTAATAATGACCCAGTTCAACCACCAAGTTTTCTGGGACTTCTTTGGCAAAGGTCAGCATTTTCTTTTTTCTTTTTTTTCTTTGCTGGTCTTGGGGCTTGAACTAGGTAGGGCCTGGTCACTATCCTTGAGCCTCTTTGTGCTCAAGGCTAGCACTCTACCACTTGAGCCACAGTGCCACTTTCTGTTTTTTTTTCTGAGTAGTTTATTGGAGATAGGAGTCTCACAGACTTCCCTGCCTGGGCTGGCTTAGAACCGAGATCTCAGATCTCAGTCTCTCGAGTAGTTAGGATTACAGGCGTGAGCCACTGATGCCTGGGCTAGGTCTACTTTTTCTATCACTCCCAATCAGGATGTTGACATTTCTTCAGAATGCATTGACCAACTTAAGAAATCTATCTGGAATTTCTTTCTTTCATCATTATAAAACATGTCAAGCTGCAATATTAAATTTAGCCCAAAACTGAAAGATTGACAGTATGAAGTGAGTCTCCACAGTCCTATTTAGGTGTCTCTCCACATCAATGTAACACCACTCTAGGAAAACAAACAAACAAAACCCTGTCGATTCATTATGAAATATAAAACATGTTAGATGAGTGTTTGTGTAACAGAAATTTAAGTCCTCAAAAGATGAGAAGCCCCTCCCCACCCCCACCTACCCACCTCCACCCGAGCCAACGGCAAATAGAAAATTCCTGCTTGAGTCATCATTCACTATGAAGTGTGCAAGAGGTGCAAGAGTGAAGACAAACAGAATATTTTAGAATAAACCTGAGAAGCGACAGAACCAAACCTTGACCTCTTTTAGATGAGGAAACTGAAGCTAAGGGATTCACTTTAAGGGACTTGGCAAATATCAACACCACCTTCTCTCCCTCAAAATACTCCAAACAAGTAAGAATCTGCTGGGCACACATTTCAAAGGAGAGGAAAAGCATCCCTTTAGCTGACCGGATAGGAATGGAGCAAAGCCAAACTTTGCCCACTTACTTTTTTCTCTATTATGTTGTTTGATATCTGCGCAGCCACAGAATGCCCAACATGAGCAGACAGCAGAGCAGCTCCATTGTTCTCAGACTGAACACAGGTCACGCGCATCTGCTGCCACCAAGGGGACACAGACTGGGAATCCCAGGTGTCATCAATGGCCACTAGGGGACGGGGAGGGAAATAGAAAGTAAAATCTTACCTTGCCAAAATTGTTTTTTAAGCTTGTCTCACTTTTCATATTTAAAACTAAATTCCCTAAAGATATACCTGCTGTTTCTGAACATAATGGAAAATAAATCGTGCAATTTATTGTATTCGGAACATTTATATCCAATTTCTGAAAAGCCATCATGTTTCTGAATCAGTACTAAATCCCTATTTTCATTATTACAAAACTATTATTGAACATTTTAATAGATTGTTTTTGTTTTTTTGGGGGGTCCGGTGGTGGGGCCTGAACTCTGGGCCTAGGCGCTGTCCCTCAGCTCTTCAGCTCAAGGCTAGCGCTCTACCACTTGAGCCACAGTGCCACTTCCGGCTTTTTTCTTTTTCTTATGTGGTGCTAAGGAATCGAACCCAGGGCCTCAGGCATGCAAGGCAAGCGCTCTACCACTGAGCCACCTTCTCAGCCCCAGATTATTGTTATTTAATAGATTATTATTCTGACAATTCCAAGTATTTTCTCTACCGAGGACCACTAAGTTTGCCTTACTGAAGTAAGAAAACGTATTGTTTATATTATGTTATATCTTATAAGGACAAGCTAATTTTCATAATTAAATACTTTATGCACTACCATCTCCCTATTAATCTATTTTTAAAAATCTCTATAGTGAAGTTTTGTGTATGTGTGCTGCTCCTGGAACTTGAACTCAACACCTTGATATGCTTGTCCCTGAGCTTTTTTTGCTCAAAGCTAGTACTCTACCACTTGAGCCACAGCTCCACTTCCAGCTTTTTGCTCACTAATCAGAGATAAAAGTCTCATGGACTTTCCTCCCTGGGCTGGCACTGAACCGAGATCTTCAGATCTCAGCCTCCTTAGTAGCCAGGAGTACAGTTGTAAGTCAAGGTCACTGGGCTTTACAGTGAAATGTTTTGATACTGTATTATTCTTTTGTTAAAAGAAGCTCTTCTCCTTCCTTGTTCTTGTGGTATTTCCAAGAACAGTAGCTCAGATACTGAGAGAACTGACTTACAGGTGCAGCAGCATCCTACCTTTCATCTTGCTCAGGAGGGACAGCATTGTATGAAGACAGCAGACAGACCGGGGTTTATCCAAAATATCTTTTTCCTTGGAAAGCCACACACTCAGGAGCAAGGACTGAAATCAAATTAAAAATCTTGTTCAGTCAAAAACAATAGTTAATGCAGACAAGATCTCACACTGTCACATACATAAAGACATGGCAGTCGGTATTGGGTCTATACACAGGCAGTGTGAGGGTCAGACCAAGGCTCTCTGTCTACTACCCAAGAGATTCTGCATCATGTTGCTATCTCTCCTTTAGCTTATGCACTGTCTATTAAGAAGCATGTTACTAGAAAGGGCATTGCTGGTGAGTGGATTCACTGTGGATCACTGAGATGCCACTTGGCTTGTAGATTTCTACAGAAGACAGGGAAGACCTGGAGCTGTTGATCTTGCCTTGCCCTGCCCGTATGATCGCAAGGAACAAACATAGAAAACTAGCAAACTCCCATTTTAAAAGCAATAGTAAGTTATGAAATACATTTCACACAAAAATCAAGTAAGGCGCCGAGGCTGGTGGCTCATGCCTGTAATCCTAGCTACTCAGGAGGCTGAGATCTGAGGATCGTTGTTCAAATCCAGCTCGGGCAGGAAAGAAAGTCTGTGAAACTCTTATCTCCAATAAACACTCAGAAAACAGGAAGTGGCGCTATAGCTCGTGCTAGCCTTGAGCTGAAGAGCTGAGGGACAGGGCCCAGGCCCAGAGTTCAAGCCCCACGACCAACAGAAAAAAAAAAAATCAAGTAAGGCAACAGGTATAACTTTTAGGATGTATTTGAACCAGTGTTACCTATTTAAGTTTACACTGTGCAGGGCAGGTAAGAGAGTGCTCATGTGAAGGTAACTTCCCTTACTCTTTTCAGAAAAGGAAAATTTTAGTCCTGCAATTTTTCCACTGGATAGTTCTTTTCTTTTGAGACAGGGTCTTGCTAAGTAATACAGACAGCCCTGGAACTCACAATTCTCTTGCCTCTTCATCGTAACTGTTGAAATCACTAGCATGTTACCACCATGCCTAGCTGTATGATTCTTTTATCTTACGTTTGTTATATCATGAAGATTTATACCTTTAAGATATAATCAGAGTTTGAAAATAATGGAATCTTTTTTAGCTTAGTTTTCTTTTTTACTAAAAAAATACTTTTTTGAAATGCTAGGGATGGAATGCAGAGCCTTATTTATAGTATGCCTTTGGTTATATCCCTGGGCTACATCCCTAGCATATCTTTTTTAGTTCTACAATACCAACTTTTACTGATGTTCAGAGTACACTGCGAATTCATTCATACCTGGCAGATTTTAACTTTATTATAAGCCAACCACAAATTATGTGGGGTTGGAGATTTAGCTCAGTGAAACAGCACTTGCCTGGCAACTGCAAAGCCCGGAGTTTGGTGCTTAGCAAAGAAGAAAGAAGAGAGAAGAGAGAAGAGAGAAGAGAGAAGAGAGAAGGGAGAAGGGAGAAGGGAGAAGGGAGGAGGGAGGAGGGAGGAGGGAGGAGGGAGGAGGAGGAGGAAGGGGGAAGAGGAGGAGGGGGGAGGAGGAGGAGGGGGGAGGAGGAGGAGGAGGAGGAGAGGAAGAGGAAGAGGAAGAGGAAGAGGAAGAAAACAAAAACAAAACAAAAAACTGGCATGGCGGTACACAGCTATAATCCCAACATTTGGGAGGCTAAGGCAGGATTGCAATTCAAGGTCAATCTAAGCTATACAGAGCAAAACTTGTATCAAAAAAATAAAGAAAGAAAAAAGTACACAGGTAGCAAACAAAGAAACAATAATCTTACATTAAATATGGTGATTACAAGTTTCTTGAATCATTTTTACAAGACTTCCATGTATGTTCTATGGCAGGCTAAAAAGCAAACATTAAACTCTCCTGCATAACATTTTTTGTTTTTTATTTATTTTTTTGTTTTTATTTTTTGCTAGTCCTAGGGCTTGAACTCTGTCCCTGAGCTTGTTTTTGCTCAAGGCTAGCACTCTACCACTTGAGCCACAGTGCCACTTCCAACTTTTTCTGTTTATGTGGTACTGAAGAATCAAACTCAGGGCTTCATGCATGCTAGGCAAGCACACTGTCACTAAGCTACCTTCCCAGCCCTCTGAATAACATTTGTAAGGAAGGACAGCACCCAGCACAAAACCCTTACCAACAACTGCTGAGGGCTAAGGCCAGCAGACTCTAAGGTGTGACACATATCCTCTGTGGAGCTTTCTCCATGCAAACACTTCCAAAAGAAGAAACTACCTAGTGAAATGAAAATGAAACACATTACTCAATGACAAATTACCATCTGGATGAATACTGTTCGTGAACTGCAATCTAGAATTCTAGCACGAGAAAAGATGAATTAATGTTTTTTTTATTTATTAAGTCAGAAAACAATTCATTACACGCCTGACAGTATCTCTTCAGTACAGTCAGTAATTCCACTGGCATGACACAATGTGCATATGTCCCGCTTCTGCTAACCAAATTATACATTAAATTCGCTGGTTAATTACTTGTTTTTAGAAAAAGAAAAGTCTTTGAGATGTTGTATGTTCCTAGACTATCTTCTAGAAGAAGGGAAGAGGTAAGAGGGGTTTATCACTTCACCTACCTAAAGCCACATATTCCTCCTCACTGATCTTCTTTATATTGAGCACATCCTTCTCATATTCTAAATACTCAAGGAATGTCTTTACAGGCAACACACCATCCTTGTCATCAGAAAATCGGACAGAAGTTCTGGTGTTCTCTTGCTTGTATTTATCTAACAGTGTCTGGAGCTTATGTAGTTCTCTTTCATCAAGCCTTAGCAACACAGCCAAGTCCTTAAAAATAAAGGAATACAAGTTCTCAGAAGACTATATCTCTTTCGATAAGCCCCATTATTTGAACTGAAACTTAAGGATGTAAGCAAAAGGTGACTCTTTTATTAAACATGTATTACCAGGCATCTAGAAAAAGAGAAACTCTAAGGGATATCAGTTGTAACTTGTCATTCTGAGAAAACAAGAACAACTTGAAATTAAAAGCTTTATATATTAAACAAGATAGTATAAAATAAAAACTATGGGAAAATAATTCTCATTGTATCTGCACGTAAGTCCTCTAGTTTGGCTATCAGGGATCCAATTGATTTAAAAGTCACAGATAAAACATGCCAACCTAACTAGTAGTTATTGTATGTAGTAGTCAAACTAGTGCATGCTAGGCAAGCACTCTACCATAAGCTACCTTCCCAGCCCTCTGAATAACATTTGTAAGGAAGGACAGCACCCAGCACAAAACCCTTAGCACGAAGGCTGAGGGCCAAGGCCAGCAGACTCTAAGGTGTGACACATATCCTCTGTGAAGCTTTCTCCATGCAAACACTTCCAAGAGAGGAAACTACCTATTTGTATGTACCGTATGCATTGAAACAGTTCCTGAGATTACTATCATTTTTGTGGAAACCACTTAAGTTCATCAAGCAAATCTTTTCTGTATGCAACATAAAGCAATCTTTGGGTCTTGTCATGTAGCCCAGGTGGGTTTGAACTCTCCATCCTTGTGCCTCATTCTCCCAAGAACTGGGGACCAGGTGTGTGACATACCTGGCTAAAAAGGGACATCCTTAAATAAGAGGAGTTCCTTTGATTTACTTATATAGGCTATTGTTTTTAAGTACAAGCCATAAACTCTCAAATGAATACCAGTAGTTCAATATACTAAATTTACATATGAGTTTTCTAAGTCCTATGTCCTATAACCAGCCTAGAAACTGGTTATCTGTTTTTGAAGGACCTAAACAAAGATTTCTATAGGAAGTCTTATTTTAATTCTGAAAGAGTGCTTTAAAAATAACAAGTAACAATATGCCAAATGTATCTCTACATTCTATGGGGCCTGTTGTGGAAATGTGACTCTGAAATAGTCTATATATTGAATTAGCCAAGTAGAAATTAGTTCCACTGAGGGTTATCAATGTATACATTTAATTTTATTTGTTGTAGTGGTTTTGTTTTCTGTTTTGTGTTACCCACTCTGGCCTAAAGTGTTCATCCTAACTAAATGGTCTAGAACTATTATACTTGACCACTTAACTTCATCTGCTAGTACATATGCAAGAGAATGTGTATCTTATGATTAATCATTAAAAAACCCATGAAATGTCCAGGATATCTTGTAGACATTGCTTAAATAACTTGAACTGTCCTTCCTGTAGCTTAAATTTACACTACAGTGGAGAGAAAAAGATCATGGAAAACAGTCGTTATTATTTGTAATGGCAATGACAAAATACTATTATGAATGCACATTGCCAAATCATTACATGAAATCCATCTGAAGTTAATTCCAATGAGAAAAATCTCTCATTTTTCTGTTTTAAAAAATTGTATTCGTATGTTTTTGTTTGGATGTCTTTTTTCTGTGCCAGTCCCAGGGCTTGAATTAAGGACTTGGACACTGTCCCTGAGTTTTTGTGAGCAAAGCAAGCACTCTACCACATAACTGCAGCTCCATTTCCAGCTTTTTGATGGCATTGGAGATAGAGTCTCACAGACTTTCCTGCCAATTCCTGGCTTCTATGTATATATTTTTAAACTAAAAAGTCGACATTAAACTTCAATTAAATTTTAAATGTATCAGATAATTCTTTAGCAAACATTGTAAGCAAAACATTGTAAGACTAATCACTAAAATCATTTTAACAATTCTTGCTTGGATAAGTAGAAAAGCACAAGGCGTTGAGCCTGGCAACCTGCCCAGCAGAACACGATCATCTGGAGAGACAGGCTACATTTACTCTTTTCTTCATTAAGAACAAGTTCTCTGCATGGAAAAGTAAGAATTCTGTATAAATTCTGCCCAGCAGAACACCATCATCTGGGGAGACAGGTTACCATTTACTCTATTCTTCATTAAGAACAAGTTCTCTGTATGGAAGAGTAAGAATTCTGTATAAATTCTCATTAAGTTGCACTATGATAAAAACTACAAGTAGCTATCACTATTTTATATTTCATATAATAAAGCAGAAATGTGAGAATTATTTTAACTCTTTGACGTTTGTACTTCATTACATAGTATACAAAAGACTAAACTGCACTAGTTTGCTACAATAATAGAAAAATTGACTTCTTACAGAATTATAGTTCTTGGGACTGAGAAGGTGGCTCAGTGGTAGAGTGCCTGCCTTGCATGCATGAGGCCCTGGGTTCGATTCCTCAGCACCACATAAGCAAAAAGAAAAAAGCTGGAAGTGGTGCTGCGGCTCAAGTGGTAGACACTAGCCTTGAGATGAAGAGCTGAAGGACAGCGCCCAGGCCCAGAGTTCAGGCCCACAACCGGACCCCCCCCCCCCAAAAAAAATTATAGTTCTGTTATACCATTAAACTGGGTATGTTTTCACTGGAAACGTTTTCAATTTCAAAAAATTCAAAAAAATAACCTTAAAGGGCTGGGCCTGGTGGTACACAGCTGTAATCCCAGCCTCTTTGGAGGCAGTGAGCTGAAGGATTGTGGTTTGAGGATAGCCCAAGCAGTAAGAACCCATCTCAACAAACAAGCTGAGAGAGGTGGGAGTCACCTGTAGTCCCAGCTACACAGGAGGTTTAACTAGGAGGACTGTCACCTAGCAAAAAACTCAAGACACTATCTAAAAAAATTAGCTAAAACAGGGCTGGGAAGGTGGCTCAGTGGCAGAGCGCTCGCCTTGCATGCCTGAGGCCTGGTTCGATTCCTCAGCACCACATAAGCAGAAAAAACTGGAAGTGGCGCTGTGGCTCAAGTGATAGAGTGCTAGCCTTGAGCTGAAGAGCTGAGGGACAGCGCCCAGGCCCACGACCGGACCCCCCCCCCAAAAAAAAAAAATTAGCTAAAACAAAAAAAGAGATGGGAGCATGGGCCAAGTGGTAAAGTGCTTGCTTTGTAAGTGCAAGGCCCTGAGTTCCAACTCCAGTACTAACACACACACACACACACACACACACACACACACACACACACACACACACACACACACACACACACACACGCTGGGGTGCTGGTAGCTCACACCTGTAATCCTAGCAAATCAGGAGCCTGAAATCTGAGGATCATAGTTCAAAAGTGGCCTGGGCTTAAAAAAGTCTGTGAGATTCTTATCTACAAGTTAGCACCAAAAAAGCTGGAAGTAGAAAGATGTGGTTTAAGTGGTAGGGCACTAACCCTGCTCATAAAAGCTCAAAAGCAGCCCATGCACACACACACACATACACACACACACTCACACACACACACTCAGTCACCTTAAAAAAATAGAGAAAAAAAGAAAAACAAATTAGTCGAGAATAGGAAAGATGAATTAAAAATAAAATTTGACCATCTTATATATTTAGCAACAAGGCACAGAGAGCCATCAGGAGGCCTGATGGCTTTGCAAGGAAAAAAAAACATTTTTTACTTGTTTACTAAAAACTTTAAAGATTAAAAATAATTAAAGAGATTACTAAGATTCTAAGGTATAGAATATAATTATATCATATAATTATATATTATTATAAATTATATTACATAATTATAATTATTAACATAAATATATCTATAAATTATATCTATTATATAGATATATCTATCATATAGATATAGTATTATATCTAGATATAATTATATCTATATAATTATAACTATATAGGTTATATAGATATAATTTTAAGATATAGAATTACTCACATTATCAGAGAATGGTGTATCTGAATGAAAATCAAGAGAATTTAATTGACTGACAGACTCATAAAGATGTAGTAATTTCAGTTTATTGGCACAAAACTGGAACAATCCTTCATCCACAGACTCAAGTTCTAAAAGTAGAAGGAAAAAACATTAAAAAGATAAACTGAACAAGTTTTTATCAACTTGCTTCCTTAATATACTTTATTAACTATGAGAAGTTTTTAAAAGCAAAGATACTTTTTCCATTATTGAAAAAGTGCACTGCTTTTAAATGAAATGACCTGCTCTAATAGTAGGGGGAAAGGAAATAGGGGGAAAAAAGAGCAGAAATGTCTTTGTGTAATACTTAAGTAATCAGGAAACATCTTTGCCAATATCCCTCTCAGTCAAAACTTTTATGCTGTCCATTATGCTCACACACAGAGCCCACGCAAATACAAGGCTGTCTCTTATTAGTACAGTGGTCAAAGTAAATAAAATTCAACCTGAAACTGTGGACTGTAACAAATGTACCCTAAAAAAGCCTGGCAAAGAGAATGAAAGTAAATTCTTCTTTAAAATCCTCCCTTAATTAGGTTTAAAAATCCTCCCTTAAATAGGTTTAATTTTGTCCAACAGTAATACTGGAGAAATACACTCTACAAAATACATTTTGACCAAGTGTGGTCCAATCTCAGCTGTTGGGAGGCCAAGACAGATGGATCATAAGTTTGAGGCCAGACTGGTTTATACAGTGAGTTCCAGATTAGCCAGAGCATCCTAGATAGTGAGACTGTTTCAAAAATAACAAAAAAAAATTTCTGTATAATAATTTAGATATTTTATCTAATATAAAACAAATAACTTGTTCTGTGAAAAGGCAGACAGTTAAAAAAAAAAAAACTACAAGAAATCTTATTTAAGATACAGTAACATGGAAAAACGTCCAAGTTCTTACAGTAATAGCAAAAGCTAATACATAAAATTGGCACATGACAGGTAGAACTAGAAATTGTGATCATTTTATAGTTTGGTTTACTCCCAACAGTGCGCAAAGTAATTTTTAATTTAATAAATTTTGATATTTTGTTAGTCTTTGCAGCATAGGGGGCTTTATAAGTATAGAGTGTCTCTTAAAACAGGTTGTTCCTACCAAGTTGTATGGACCTGTATTATCTAAAAGCCAGCTTTATGTATCTGCTGGAAAAAGTGATGAAAAAGTGGTCTCAAAATTAGAAACTTCAATCCAGAAAGAATGTGTAATATTTGAAGTCACTATGGTCTAAACATAATTAAATATAAGGTTTTTATGTAGTTAACATGACAAACAAAACAAAAAAATCACGACTAATTTAGTACTCTGAACCCTGCAACTTGGATTTGGGAGGACCAAGCTCTGCCCATGAAAGAAAAAAGGGAGGAAAACATCAATGCTAAACCCCAACAGAACACTGATTCAAAGAATATTTTTAATCATTAGTTCAGTCAGAATGAGATTACTTGATAGTACATGTATGGAATTTCTCTTATCCCACAAATTAAAGCAAAAGACAATGGAAGAAGAGAACTGACCACTGTTTGCATACCAATGGCTGATTTCTCTACTGGCAGGGCTTTCAAAATGCTCTCCAAAATTATTCATCTGTCTATAAAGAGCTTTTCTCACAACTGTGGGGCCTACATGAAAGTATTTCCAACAAGAAATAGTAATACATTCTGAAATAGCTAAACAACATCAACTGCATATATAGGGAATAACAAGACTCCCAAAGATTGAAGGTACGAACGTGTTTATATATACATATAAATAGGCATATATATATATATATATATATATGAATAGGTTTATATATATAAACCAAATTATTATATATAAACCAATTTCATTATGTATGTTAAAATGACACATTGCATACATATTAAAATGATATTATAAGCTACAATGACATATAAAATTTGAAGTGAAACAATTACCTTCATCAGTACAAACTATTACCTTGATTTTTTAGAGTGTCCATTAAAGTCTCAGTGATGTTTTTAAGACAGGAGAAAGGTAAACGTTCACTTGCCAAAATGCTTTCCAAAGCCTAGAAGAAAGACATTGAGCAACAGTTTAAAGTATTTTATATTAACGCCTTAATCTTCCCTGTATTTCAAAAAGAATTTCTTATTTAAGATGTTTTAATCTACATACCAGTGGAAAAAAGTGCACTGAAATAGAGCAGTAAGCAATATAAATCAGCTTTATGTCACATAAAATAATGTGGTACAATGATGCAAAGTCCGGATTGATAATGATACAACTAGAAGAGAACTAATATTTAACAGAGTGGCAGAGACAAAATAGAAACAGTCAAAGCTCTTCACCAGTAAGAAAAGTGTGGATAAGCTCTCTCAAAGTACAAATGAAAAGCAGAGGTAATTGCCATGCTAATAATAAAAGCTAACAACTTAGAGCTTTCTTAGTCCATATGTGCAAGGCAGGCTGAATCTACAGGTCATGTTGGCTAGCTCCAATATACAGCCTAACCTGCCTCGCTCTCACCACTCCAACCCACTCTTGGTACTTAAGTCTTCATTCAGAAGCTCCAAACTTCCACCTCATGTCCAACAAAGCAACTAAAAAAGAGTTAAAGTTTACATCTATCCTTTCACATGATCACATTAAATTGAATAACTGAGACTAAATAATTTAAAAATAGACTAAAATGTGGCATGAGATAGGAATCAGAGCATATAACACAATAAATTCTGTATTTGTGGGAGAGAAGTTGGCTTAGCAGTGGCCTGTGATGAAATACTAACTATCTGGAGGAAATAAAGCAACTAAAAGAACCCAGGACAAACATAATCTGTCAATAATTGCACAGGTGAGTTTTTGGCTTACTTTCTCAGTAGCCTTCTGGCTGTTCACCAGAAATCCTTTGCAACTACCTGTATGATAAGTCAGTAAAGAGTTAGAGTTTCCCTGAATAATTTTTCCTTTCCTCTAATTTTTTTAAGACAATTAACAATTTTGTTATTGGGTTTTCCAACATATTAAATAAAATCACTTTCACAAATGATTCAAGAATATAGTCTTTAAAAAAAAAAAAAAAGATGAACCCAGGAGAACTTAAAAACAATATGTACCAGGCTAAAGTTCCCCAATTTTGTTGTTTCATGATGTAAGATTAACAACTGCACTAAAAAAGAATTACTGGGGTTTTGACTCTATTCTAGATTCCCTCTCCTTTTCTCTAGATGCCTTGTGATCAGTGTCATCTTTAATGACTGAGATTTTACCCTGAGAAATATGAAAGCCAATTAACAGTCTGTATAATGGAAAATCGTATTTTATAATGAGACTATGAAGTAATTTTTTGGTTTTGATAGTACTGGGAAAAATCTTTGAAAAAATAACTGCAATAAAAATCACTCTTTCCTAAATTTTCCTGTGCATGCAGCTTTAAAATAAGAAGAAATAAACATTTTAATCTCTACCTTAAGTTGTGACATACAGCTTCTAACCCCCTATAACTTCCTGAGTGGTAAGGGTGCTAAAAGCATCTTTTTTTTTTTTTTCCTAATGCTTGGTCCCCATGCAGGCACAGATGCTTTTGTTTTAATATTGGTATTGATCCTAGGAATTACTGGATAGTAGTTCCTCCTGGATAGTTTCAGGATGGGGGCAGGTTATCATACCACCCATGTGATTACAGAATTAGAACTTTTAGCCCCACTCTTTACCTCCCACGTTTACTAAAGGTTGGGCTGATTGTTAACAGTCAATGGTGCAAACAATCATGCCTAAGTAATGAAACCTCCATAAACACCTGACAGGGCAGGGTTTGGAGAGCTGCAAATAGATGAACACACAGATTCTTAGGCATGACTGGCCTTGAGAGAATAGGAAGTTCTGCACCCCTCCCACCTGCCTGGCCCCATTGTGTCTCTTCCCTCTGGGCTATTCACCAGAAAGCCTTTGTAACATCCTATGATATGTGGGTAAAAGTTATGAGTTGCCCTGAGATCTGTGAGTTCTGTAGCAAGTTAATCAAACCCAAAGAAGGGTCATAGTCAGACAACCTGCTACTTATGACTGGTGACTAAAGCGTGGTTAATCTTATGGGATCTAGTCCTCATCCTGTGAAATCCTGTGAAATCTGGTGCTCTCTTCAGGCAGGTGTCAGAACTGAACTGAACTGGAGGACACCCACCTATGCCAACTGGAAAATCTGCAGGAGAAATTGGTTGGTGTATGGGGAAAAAAAAATCTATACTGAGTCGAACCATTAATTGGCTGTGTTAAGGGAATAAGAAAAAAACACTGATTTATGTCCTCATGTGCTCATAGTAGTATTATTTTAAATGCTATGACTTATGATAATTAAGTATTTGGAGAACTATGACTAATGTACATGAAATAAGTAGTAAACAGTAGTCTAAAAGTTAACTGCAGACAGAGCTGGTGGTATATCTTAGTAGTAGAGCAGTTGCCTAGCATGTGAAAAGCCCTAAGATCAAACAATAGCACTGTAAAACAAAAAGTAAAATAGAAGTGGAGAGATCTCTGTGAGGTTGAAATGTTACATAAGAAGTTATGAAATCAAGACCTTGTGAGGAGTATGGATAGGAGAAGAAGTAAAAGAAGTCACAGCTGATTATAATAGTATAACACAGCCTGGACAGAAGTAACAAATACCTGGCAGCTCCACTCTTAGCTAACTATTCAAGAAACACTTGCAGATGTGCTATAGGAAACATGTACAAGAATGAACATGGCATTATTGTCTGAATAGCAATATAGAAAACGACCTACATGTTACCAGACAGAGGAAAGTGAGTAAATAACTTAAGAGTCATAGAGTGAATTTATATGGCATAGGAAATGAATGAACTGTATCACTTCAACTACAGTATGGCTTCATATATCACATACATTATTCACAGAAATGTTAAAAAATAAGTCAGAAGAAGACAAAAAGTATATGTCCCTTTATACAGTTCAAAAAGGCAGAAAATATACCAAGAGTTTACAAGTGATATGTTTAATAGAGATACACATTGGGTGACCTTAAGGATGCAGAAAGTCAAAATGGATACCCAAGGCTGCTCAAGAGTTCCCGACAAGATTCTATTTCCTAAGGAGACACACACTTGTGTGTATTATTCTTTAACTTAAACATGTTACATATTAGAGAATGTGAGTATATGTGTATGTCTATGTGTGTATAAAACATGAACACTTGTATATGGTAGATCTACCTAAATTATAATAAAGAGACTACAGACCCTTCTTCAAGGGAATATGAAAAGGGATAAAGATCAATAAAAGGGAAAAAAAAGATCAATAAAAGGAAATTTTAAGTTTGTCATGTGTGGAGAGAAATAGGACAATAAAGATTTTCTTAGAAGTAATGGTTAATAGCCACTTAGCAGGAAAATTCACTTACTTGTTTTTTGGTTGCAGGGTACTTAATATCAAGAATTAATTCCTTTATTTCTGTTTCTACCATATCTAGAAAGAGAAAATCAAAGTAGAATTTTTACTTTTTAATTACAGTAAAATGTTTCCCTGAAGCTGGCTGCCAGTGGCTCATCTCTGTAATCCTAGCTACTCAGGAGACTGAGATCTGAGGATCGTGGTTCAAAGCCAGCCAGGGCAGAAAAGTCCATGAGACTCTTATCTCCAATTAACCACCAGAAAACTGGAAGTGGTGCTGTGGCTCAAGTGGTATAGTGCTAGCCTTGAGCTGAAGAGCTAAGGGACAGCGACCAGGCCCAGAATTCAAGCCCCATGACCAACAACAACAACAACAAAATGTTTCTCTGAAACAAAATGAGCATACATGTATTGTTACTCTAAATGCTACTGGTGTTCTCTTACATTACTGTTTTATTGTGATAGCATCCCCTGGATGGCACACTTCATCCTTACAGCCCATCTCCAAGAAAAAAAAGTATGGGAGATGACAGGCAACTCTCCTCTATTTTTTTTAAATTTCTTTTATTGTGAAAATACTGTACAGAGGGGTTACAATTACATGGGCAAGGCAATGAGTACATTTCTTATCAAGCATTGTTGCCTCCTCCTTTGTTTCCCTTTACCATCCCTTCCCATCCCCGCCCCCCCAACACACACCCCACGCCATAGTTGTAAAGTTCGTTTTTCGACATAATGTCTTGTACGTTTCACTGTTACAATGTATCCCTATTTAAACAATTTGTTTTTTCCCTTCCCCTCCACAAATTATACCAATATCAAATAAAGTGAAAACAGGGGTTATACCGTGGGGGAGGGACATACACAGCAACAAAGAAATGTCTTTTTTTTTTGGTTCCAGTCATGGGGCCTGAACTCTGGGCCTGGGCACTGTCCCTCAGCTCTTCAGCTCAAGGCTAGCACTCTACCACTTGAGCCACAGCGCCACTTCCGGCTTTTTTCTTTTTGCTTATGTGGTGCTGAGGAATCGAACCCAGGGCCTCATGCATGCAAGGCAAGCACTCTACCACTAAGCCACCTTCCCAGCCCCAAGAAATATCTTATAAATATGTTAGAAACAATAGCAAGAAAGAAAAAAACATTTGAGTCCTTATCTTGGGGTTCATTTAGCCTAACATCAACCTATCTGACCGTTTCTGCTTGTCTCAGACATATTCTCCTCTTTTCTTGATTTAGAAAATGACAGGATAGCATGCTCTACTATGTTGCTGAAGTTTACCTACCTGGATCGGGAGATTTCACTTTCAGTAAAGCTGCTAGTTTCTTCACTAAGTGCATGTCCTTGGCTCGTTCGCTCTTTTTATCACTATAATAATAAATAAAGTTTACACATCTACATACACAAAAGGTTACAGAATATGAAACTATTTCTTCTAATTCGGATATTTCTTTTTTCTTTATATGTGTCCTTTTATATGTTCCCTATTTAATATTAAAGTTATCCTCTAGTGATGAAATCACAAAGCACAGTGAGGTAAGGGAATCAGAAGTTACCTCAGTAAGCTTACCTCAGAGCCAAATGGAAAGGAACATTCACTGTTTTCACACTTGCAGAGACAGGGTCAACAAGGCAGATCTGGTAGGTCTGTGGCTGCCAACTCTGACTGGTAACATTGTTTAAACCCATTATTTTATAGCCAGGATACAGTAACCTAAGGAAATCATATACCAAAATGGTAAAATATTAGAAAAAGGAGACATGCCAAAAGGTGTTTTTATAATAGCCAGGAGACACCACCCCACCATTAACTCAGGAGCATTAGCAAATGAATATTGATACCAAAAGCCAGTAAAGCAGGTCTCAACTGACAAGAGTCAATTGGCTTTAAAAGGATCTAGAGAACTAAATAAACACAAGCAGGCCTATGTTTCAATGGCATACATCATCACTAGCAGAGCATGAAGGAAACTTTCCTTTTGAGTCTTTACAGCTGAGTAAGGGACAAATGGCTATGCCAACCAAACTTTCATTCAACTGCCTCAGGTAATTTTTTAGTATATTTCTTTGTTATTAAATACTTAATTACACATCAGGTATTCACAGGAAAACCTGTATAAAGATAATTACAGTTCTCTAGCAAATTGCAATCTTTAAGTTGCCTTAATAAAAAGCTTTAAGAAAAACAACCCTGTATTTTTTTTCACAATCAGCAAAATGGCAGAGGTTGCAGCTTACCTGCAGTGCTTACCCACGTTGAAAGCTCCTACTCTAGGTCCCTGCTGTGTACTCCAGACTTCTAAAATTCCCCTTCTTGGTGCATAAATCACAAGGAACTGAGCTACTCGACTGGGACCCTGAGTATTTCCAAAGGGGGAAAAATCCGCCTTCTCTGGTACTCTTTCATGGAGGTCCTCTACAATTTGAATCCATCCAATTTGTGCATCTCGGTACCCTTGGAGACACAGGAAAAGAGAAGCCAATTAGTCACTCTGGGCTTAGGAGTAGCCTCTTGAGGCACTGGACAATTCAAGGAAGAGAATCAGAAAAGCTATAGAAGTACATTATCTTTTTTAAGAAATATTTTCAACAGAAAGGATAATACATATAATAATTTGTCACAGAAATTTACCAAGTTTTAATATTTTGTCACCTGTATTTGCTTCAGATTTTTTTTTTTTACAAAGAAATATTGGGTATTATTGAAGTTTTCTGAGATATTTTTCCCAAACTAGCACCTGTTCCTATTCCCTTCCTTCCCTCTGAGATTCCTTCCTTTAAAAAACTTGTGGCTATCCGGGCGCTGGTGGCTCATGCCTGTAATCCTAGCTACTCAGGAGGCTGAGATATGATGATTGTGGTTCAAAACCAGCCCAGGCAGTAAAGACTGTGAAACTCTTATCCCCAATAAACCACCAGAAAACCGGGAGTGAGGCTGTGGTAGAGCGCTAGCCTTGAGCTGAAGAACGGAGGGGAAGTGCTCAGGCCCAGAGTTCAAGCCCCACAATCGACAAAATAAATAAATAAATAAATAAAATTTAAAAATTCTGGAAAGATCACTAGGTTTGTCTTCCAAATAAAAACCAAGTTGAATATGAACATATATTACTTCTCCTTCCTTCCCAAGCTAGAACCATGATAGAACCATGAGTGGGGCAGCTTCGTGGAGGGAGACTGGGTCTGAGGATTTCACGGTGAGATCATGTTGTATACTTGAGTCTGTTATTCTTGCATCTGAATGAAAGTGGTACCGTTACTAGTGAACTAAGTAGACTGATGTAAGCATACAGATGTAACTAAGTCAAGTCAATAATGATGGAGTTTGCCCATTTTACTCTCTTAAATACACATGAAAAATTCAGCATTGTAGACTTGGGAGAACCTCTGCCTCAAAAGTAGCTTTGTGGGGTGGGAAGGTGGCTCAGTGGTAGAGTGCTTGCCTTCATGCATGAGGCCCTTGGTTCAATTCCTCAGCACTACATAAGCAGAAAAAGCCGAAGTGGTGCTATGGCCCAAGTGGTAGAGTGCTAGCCTTGAGCTGAAGAGCTGAGGGACAGTGCTCAGGCCCAGAGTTCAGGCCCCACAACCGATTAAAAAAAAAAAAAAAAAGAGTAGCTTTGTGAGGAAAATGAATGGAGAGGGGGCAAGGAATTGAATTTAGGCATTAAATGATAATGAGAACTGAAATAAGGTTCATAAGGTACAAGTTATAGAAGTGTCTATGAGGTGAACAGAATATATGAGCTATGAAAAATCAAATGTTGCTGACCTAAGTTTCTTTTAAAAAGAGCAAGCATTTCTGAATAGAGACCCGGAAACACAACAAATCAAAGAAAGGTTGGACAAATGGGATTGCATGAAGTTGCAGAGCTTCTGCATGGCAAAGGACATAGCTAGCAAGATGAATAGAAAGCCCACGGATTGGGAGAAGATCTTCACTAGCCATACAACAGACAAGGGTCTCATATCTAAAATATACTTGGAACTCAAAAAATTAAATCCCCCAACAACAAATCCTCAAAGAAACAACTGCCCAATAAATAAGTGGGCTAAAGACTTAAAGAGAAACTTCTCTGAAGAAGAAAGGATGGCCAATAGACACATGAAGAAATGCTCAACCTCCCTAGCCATAAAAGAAATGCAAATCAAAACAACATTGAGATACCACCTCAGTCCAGTTAGAATGGCTATAATCAAGAACTCTAATAACAACAGATGCTGGAGGGGATGTGGACAGAAGGGAACCTTACTTCATTGTTGGTGGGAATGTAAACTTGTTCAACCACTTTGGAAAGCAGTATGGAGGTTCCTCAAAAGACTTCACATAGAGCTCCCCTATGACCCAGCAATCCCACTTTTGAGCATTTACCCAAATGTTCACAAACAAGACCACACTAAAGCTACCAGTACAACTATGTTTATTGCAGCATTATTTACCATAGCTAAGATATGGAACCAACCCAGATGTCCCTCAGTAGATGAATGGATCAAGAAAATGTGGTATATATACACAATGGAATTCTATACCTCCATAAGAAAGAATGACATTGCCCCATTTGTTAGGAAATGGAAAAACTTGGAAAAAATTATATTAAGTGAAGTAAGCCAGGCCCAAAGAAACATAGGTCCCATGGTTTCCCTTATTTGCAATATCTAGTATATGTATGAGTCAAGCGGAAAAGGTCAGGTAATGTGATGTTAGGAAAATGAACCCTTAGATATGTATTTTAATGCTTTTCTCTTTCATGCATTTGTTTCTAATGCATTTATAAGATTATCTCTTTGTTGCTTTGTATGTCCCTCCCCCACAGTATAACCCCTGCTTTCACTATATTTGATGTCAGTATAACTTGTGGAGGAGATGGGGAAAAACAAGTCGTTTAAGGATACAGGTGGACCTGTTGCAACAATGAGAAGTACAAGCTGTCATGTCGAAAACGAGCTTTACAACGTTGGTGGGGGGGGGGGGGAAGCTGGGAAGGGATGTGAAGGGTAAACGAAGGAGAAGGCTGCAATGCTTGATAAGAAATGTACGCATTAGCCTGCCCATGTAATTGTAACCCCTCTGTACAGTATGTTCAGAAAAAAAAAATTAAATTAAAAAAAAAAAAAAAAAAGAGCAAGCAAGCCAGGCACTGGTAGCTCACGCCTGTAATCCTAGCTACTCAGGAGGCTGAGATCTGAGGATCGTGGTTCAAAGCCAGCCTGGGCAGGAAAGTCCATGAGACTCTTCCCTCCAATAAACCACTAGAAAACTGGAAGTGGCGCTGTGGCTCAAGCGGTAGAGCGCTCGCCTTGAGCTGAAGAGCTGAGGGACAGTGCCCACGTCCAGAGTTCAAGCTTCACGACCGCCCCCCCCTCCCCCAAAAAAAAGGAGCAAGCATAAACATAAAAGATTAAATACTGTTATCAACTCAAAAAGTGAATTAAGCCAGGCGTCAGTGGCTCACGCCTGTAATCCTAGCTACTCAGGAGGCTGAGATCTGAGATCACGGTTCAAAGCTAGCCCTAGCCGGGGCAGGAAAGTCTGTGAGACTCTTATCTCCAATAAAAACCACTAGAAAACCAAAGTAGCGCTGTAGCTCTAGTGGTAGAGCGCTCGCCTTGAGCTGAAGAGCTGAGGGACAGCGCCCAGGCCCAGAGTTCAAACCCCACGACCAACCAAAAAAAAAAAAAAGTGAATTTACTTTTTTTTCTCAATTTCCGTAAGTACCTTTCCACATACGTATTGCAATTCCTCTAGTGACATCCAATAAAATCACCCTGCCAAAATCATCTGTTACTGCTGCCAGTGTGTTACAGGGAGACAGACAGATGCTTTCACCATGGCGTCGAGAATCTGGAAGACCGAATCTGTTATTTAAAAGAAAATAAAAACTCAAATCACATTCAAATCAGGAAACTTAGAATAAATGAATGCACAAATAAAATATAGTTCTTCTGTTTTTACATAAAGAAATATGAATTTTGCCAAGGTTAAAAGATAATTTACTGCAACAATGAGAAGTACAAGTTGTCATGTTGAAAACGAACTTTACAACTTTGGTGGGGGGGGGAGATTGGATGGGGGGGGCGGGAGGAGGCTGGGAAGGGATGTGAAGGGTAAACAGAGGAGGCTGCAATGCTTGATAAGAAATGTACTCATTGTCTTGCCCATGTAATTGTAACCCGTCTGTACAGTATGTTCACAAAAATAAATAAAGATAATTTGCTAAACACATACGATAATATAAAAATTTACAATATAAAAATGTATAAAAAATAAGTCTCATGTAAGTTTCTGTACAGATATCCATATCCTACATTTTTAGAGAATATGAAGTAGATTCACAATCAACTAAAGTTGAGAATGCTCTGCATCTTTTGTCTATTTTAAGTTCTTCCTAATCTGTGCTTTTTTCTAGGTAACGTATTTTGCTTGACAGCAATGTATCAGCCTGAATCAAAATTTTCCTTTCCCTAATGTTCTTGCTAAAATGCAATTGATTTGAAATCAACCTTCTTAAGACTATGAGTGAAATAATGTACTGTCAAAAGATCAGAAGAGAAAAATTCCTGAGTCAAAAGTGCTCAAAATTCTGTCATATTCTTTTTGAGATACATAAGGTCATCTGGCCAATTTCTTGACTTTTGAGTGAATATAGAAAACGTGGTATGTCACAATGTAACTTTTTTTTTTTTTGGTGCCAGTTCTGGGGTTTGAACTCAAGGCAAAAGTGCTGTCCCTGAGCTTTTTTGTTCAAGGTGAGCACACTACCACTTGAGCTACAGTTCCATTTCTGGCTTTTCAATGGTTGACTAGAGATGAGAGTCTCATTGACTTTCTCACCCTGGGCTGGCTTTGAGCTGTAATCCTCAGATCTCAGCTTCCTGAATTGCTAAAATTATAGTTGTTAGCCATCAGGCACCTGGCTACAACATAATATTTTAAAGTAAAGTGAAAAAAATCAAACTTCAGTATATTTTTATTAAGAGATAACTAGTTTGCTTTGTTCAGTTGAAGAATACCTTTAAAAAGAGGGATGGGAGGTAATGTTTCCCTTTAGGATGGAACTTTACATTAGGTAAAAAGATATATGATAGTAAAAATTCATGCTTCCTCTCTACAAAAAAAAAAAAATTAAATCTCACAAATCCACTATCATATCCTAAAGTCCTACTAAGGTAAACAAGGAAGTAAGTACAAGTATTCTGAAGAGAGTTGGAATACAAATGACTCTGGTTAATTTATTCATTCGTTTTCAAGTCAGGGTCTCAAGACCCTGTCTTGAGGCTGGCCTCAAACATGTTATTTTTTTCTCACTCAGCTTTTCAAGTACTGAGATTATTTTTTTAAGTCACTAAACACCTTTTAAGTTTGTAGTCTAATAACAAACTACATAAACATTTTAAAGCAGGAAACACAATAGCTATTGTTAGACTGATTGTTTTTGGCAACTGAAGCTAAATTTGTTTAAAAGTGCAGTTTACAAATACATCTTGAGTACTTGCTATATGAGAGATAGCTGTGAATACAACAGATAAGACTCACTCTTCTTGTGTAGTTTATATTTAGTGAGATTTTTACTAAATTGATGATTTTCAGAAGCTCCTAAAGACTCATGAAGACAACAATCAAGTATAGGCAACTAAAATGCCATACATGTAATAATACACATCTGTAAAAACTAAAAGGAGAAACCTGGTAGAACTTGCCTTACAGCTAATGGGGTAGCTGGTTCCATCTTGGGCTTTTGCTTCTGGACAGCTTCTTCTTCATGCTTATTTTTCCAACCTAGCCAACCACTGTAAAGAAGAAAAATTAGAATAAAACTAGAGCTTTGAGTTTTTGTAATATAGACTATCAAAATATACACTAAAACCCAGCTAGATACAAATTACATCATCTTTGTTACTGAGTTACCTGGCAGCATTAAATAAAGCAGAAGTGAGTTTACTTGCAACTGCTAGAGCAACATGAGATAGTAATGGCTGCGTGCTTCCCTGTAAGACACAACACATGAAGAGAAAACTTAGCTCCAAGAAAACAAACCTAATAAACCTAATGTCTAAACAAGCCTACTTAAAAAAATTTTTTTTTGAAAAGTTGCTAAAACTGGACTAGCAGCTCAGCTTCTTTCGAATAGTAAGAACTTCATTGCAATAATATAATTTAAAAAAACTCTTACTCTAATTTTGAAATATAACTAGCAGTCTAACTTACCTTTAGAATTTTGCTCCTCAGTTACACTAAATGATAAAGTAGGCCATTAAGACAACAGTATTATAACTGTGCTAAGGATTTCCCATCTGCCTACAATTTGGCTCTTGCCCTTCTTTTTAAAAATTTAAGTATTTGTATAAAAGTAAGTTTGGTCAATTCTGAGATGACTGCTTTTTAAGTGAGAAATAAGAACTGTGAAAGCTAAGGCCTGGATTTTCCCTAATTCAGGAAGCAATGTTACTACATATGTCAAGTGTGCTTGTAGCTTGTTCTACCTTCACAAGTTTTCCCTTATTCAAACCCCCAGTGGGCGGACATAATTAACAATCTTGAGCTTTTTGACTATTCCAGAATATAAAAAGAAAGTAAGTTGCGAAAGAACTCATCTTCAGAAACAAAGCTTTATTTTTTTACCTTGATTATTTAATCTTTTTCAGTTAATCTAACTAACTTAAAAGAAATGTAGTTATGATTAATTATCACTTCAACTGAAACTTAGAAACATAAACTACTAAGTCTATATTGCTATATTACTAAGGCTATATTGCTGTATGCAAAATTTAGACAAGGTCAAAAATAAAAGTGGCCCTACTTATGATCAGTACTGAAACACATACCTCAAGAGCATAGAAGAAGCCAGTAAATGGATTGGACCCTACAGTGATATATTGGGACATAGCAGGTGGGCTGTTTTTAATCGCTGCATTAAATCCGCCTATATTGGAGGCAGTCTTCATTTGATCAAAAGGGGACAATGTCATAATACCTAACACACAAAACAAATAAAAATCATGACAAGATCTGAATATACGGAAGTGACAATAGCATTGTAGGTCATTATGCGTTTACTTCAGTTCTATTCTGAGATACCATGTGTTTAGTTGAAGACAAGTTAGGTTGAAAACTATAAAATCAACATTCCTTTATAGGCTTTTATATAGTGAATTGTTATAAATTGTTAAGTGTGGGGTTGAAAGGGATCTGCCTTTTTTTTTTATTTTTAAGATAGTGTCTGGCTATGTTGCCAAAGCTGTCCTTCTAAATAGCCTTCTAAATAGCTGGGACTACAGGGATGAACCACTGCACCTAGCTTGGAAATTTGTAATGCAATCACTTCAATCTTTTGTAATGGAGTTACTTTTCTTTAAAAAGTGGAGTTGTGGCAATTTTTTTTATAATTTTCCTTGCTATGATCTTTTAAAATTAGGAAGTAGAAATGATTATTATGAAACCTAAATCTAATTCTATTTGGCTTTCATTCTCATCATTCCTCTTTAACTGCTCCAAAAAATAGCCAATAGAGTTCAGAGTTGTCATACCCAATGGGCCCTCCTCCTTTTTGGAACTCTATAAGGCATTCCATAGTTAGCCCTTCCCCAGCCCCAATTTGTATCTACAATCTCACTTCCTCCCTAAACCTCAGACTCATGTGTCCAGTTTGCCTACGTGATACCACTAGCTCAATGTATAGTGACATCAGAAGGTAACCTGAAGAAATACAACTCTTGTAAAATACACTTCATTATCTTCCTACCCTCCAATTCCTCTGCCACACGAAAGCCACTCTTCTCTTTTGCCTAACTAGCTCCTTGATTTCTTTGAGTCTCTCTCTCAGCAGTACCCAAGGGGATATTTCAAAATATATTCCTTCCTCTTACTTAGAATCTACCAATTTCACCCACTGGATTAATGATAAAACCCCAACTCCTCATCCCTGTGCGATTTAAATCTAAGCTCTCTCAGCTTACAGCTGGCAGTCTGCCACCTTACTCCAACCTCTCCACTTCTGGCTTTTTGCTGGTTAACTGGAATCTCTTGGATCTGTCTGTCTAGAGCTGACTTTGAACTTCAATCCTCAGACCTCAGCCTCCTGAGTAGCTAGGATAACAGACATGAGCCACTGGTGTCCTTGTTTCCTCTTTACTCTTTAACAGTAAAGCCACATCAACCTCCTTTCTGTTTCTTGAATACTCTGAGGCTTTGTGGTCCCCAGGCAGGCTTATATTCTAATTTTGTTTTTTCTACTTAGAATGCTCTTCCCAGAACTCCTTCACCCTGATATCAGTTTATGTTCCCTGGATAGACCTTTTCTTGCCAGTGTTCTCCTTACTCTCAATCACAACCTTCTGCTTATTTCCTTCATGAGACTTATTAGTATTTTAAAATAGCATATTTATTTATTTAGTTCATCTACTGTTTGTCCTTCATCACCAGACAGAGTTCTGGACTATTTTATATTTCTAGCATCAATCTTAGGACATAATAGCTACTTGCTGGACCTTTATATAAAGATGTACATAATAAAATAAAGGGTTTTTGTTTGTTTGTTTGTAGGCTGGGGATTAAATGAATAGAAATAGATTTTCTATCCAATCATTTTCCCCAGCCAGTTTCAATGTCCCAAAGTTTAATTAACAGAGCAGGGAAGACATCCTGAACTGAACTCAACACTTTGGATTATTTTTTAAGTTCTTGGTGCTACTGCGGTTTGAACTTAGGACCTCACAATTGTTGGGCAGGCACTCTACCACTCGAGCTTCACCCCTATCCTGACACTTTGAAATTTGTACATTAGTATTTCTATTGGGAAAAATGTAAAGACACTAATTTGGCAGTTCTTTATTCACTATGCAGGGAACGGAACCAAATGACCTATTTTTGAGAAATCCTCTAAGCCCTATAGAGGCTCATTGCTTCCTTCCCTAACTACAACTTCATATATACATTGTGTTTGACTTCTTGCTGAATTCAGACAATGGGAAGATCAGGAGATCGAAAAGAAAAAGAAGAATGAAGTTAGGACATCCATCTCCCTGACTCCCCGAAAGCTGGCTGTGAGCAGAGGTCATCCTGCTCTACAGATGCTGGTTCCAGACTTTGTCTCCAAGTTCTAGAACTGGTTCCTATCTTTTCTCTTCAGGCCTAGTTTGGCTGCTAGAACACCCTGGGACACTCAACCATCCCTTGTGGTTCTCATACACACTTTTATAAATAGTTTTTTTAAATAAGTAAACCTCTTGATGTCCCATGTCAGATATGCCATCTGTCATCTAATAGGACTTGCTGATAAAATATTTAGCACAACTGATATGAAAGCACTGGCAGGAAAAGGGCTATTGGGCTATTATTGTTGGTATGATACAACCCTATTTATGAAAACATTCCTTTCCATATGACCGTGTACATATTATATAAGCACTTTACATACCCACACTACAAAGTCTGGAAGGATGTTAACCAAATATGCAATAATGAGTATCTCCAGATAGCAGAATTTTGAGGATTTTTTTTCCTTTTCTCTTAGTGTATTTATGTACTGGTTGAATGTTTAACAAGCATATATTACAGTGGCTCTATTTTCTTCTCTACCCCTATTTTGACTACCTTAATTCAGAAGATCAATCAAAGTTTCCTTACTAGTCCTATTCGTTTTGTTGTTGCTGAAGATGAGGTACCATCATGTTACCCAGGCTGGACTTGAACTTGCTATCCTCCTGCCTCAGCCTCTAGAACAGCTAAGAGAACAGGCACATAACACACCTGGCTTCTCTTTACTGTTCTTGGACCACTGTAGCATCTGAATTGTCACCAAAGTGATTTTTCTAACAGGCAAACATGAGAATGTTATTCTTTTGCTCGGCAACTTTCATTGGCTCTCTATGTGGCTAGGAGAAAGCTCTAATTGAAAACATTTAGATATTTCTCTACAAGGCACATCAAGTCCTTGGAAATCAGACACCTCTCTACTTGTCTGGCCTAGCTCTTGCCCGTCATCCTTGGCACTCACTGCTTCTTCAGCACACTGTGTGCACTTCACCCCTCTGCCTATACGTATGCTGGCTAGAATGCCTCCTTTGTACTTGTTCACCTAGTCAAGCCCTATTTATTCTTTTAATGTTAGATGAAAGTTACGTTCCTTTTTTTTCCCTGATGCCTTCCATATCCAATATAATTGTCCACTCGCCTACAATAACAATCATTACGTTGCAGTACTATAGCTATTCTCATGTGTTTTCCCCCCCAACTAGACAGTGCTTCTTGGCAGCAGACAGAGTATCTTTCACGTTTGTATTCTCTGAGGTCTCATCATGTAGTCCAAACTGGCATTGAATTTGCCATCTTTTTGATTCAGTCTCTTGAATGCTGTATTACAAGCATGCACCACCAGATCTGGCCTTCATCCCTGTATTTTTGATGCTGAACACAATAAGCCCTCAAATACTGTTTTAAGAAGAAATGTGCTTTTAATCTATATTCTGCTGGTTTAAGGGTTAGATTTTTTTGAAGAATGATTTATATGTTCAGTATAAACAAATTAAGCAAAATAGTGAGTAACTTAAAACTGTATGATACTGTTGCTGAGGACATATTTAAATCCTTATTAAAACCACTACTATCTCTTAAAGACACAAGTCCATGATTTCAGAGTCTGAACTAACTTCCAAATGTCTCACTGAAGGCACATCATTATTTCACATAAGAGATGACCATTTCTAATAAATGAGATACTTTAATCAAAACATAAATAAATTAAAACACAAATAAATTTAAAAAAGAATTTAAACTACTAATGCTTACCAATACTAGCATGATCAATAATAGTATCAATATCTTGTAGACCCCATTTCTTATAAGCCAAGGGTGGTGGTTGTATATTCTCATTCCCTGATGCTGCAGCTGTCAAAGATAAAGACAACCCAAATTTAAATCTAATGGGTAAAATGAAGTCTTACAAAAAAATACATATAATTTGTTATTTTAGAACTACAACTAATAATAAAGCAAAGCAATGAGACAGGCAAAAAGTAAGATTTCTTTCATGACATGTTAACATATACACAAAATGTAAATATTTATTTGAAAGACTGAACTGGCATAGGAGATTTTGGAACATTCAAGCTCAGAATTTAGAGAAAACTACAGAAATACCAGAAAAGCAATGAAAGTCAATGTGAAGTCAAACTGCATCAAATGTCAGGTAAGCCATTTCTCTTAGCCACACTGAGAGCCAAGAAAGATTCTGTAAGTAGGTCGTATTATATAAAACAATTATCAGCAAAAGTAAAGTATGTGAGTACACAAGTAAGTAAAATATTTCCTTGTCTACCATGATGTGGATATGTGTAAAAAGTAACCATCTACATGGAAATAGTTTGTTGGGGTAAGAAATCCTTGAGTAAAGTACAAACACTTCCATATTCTGTCCCGTGTGCCATAATGAGATAAGTAAACTCCCCAACACACACACACACACACAAAAAAGGTAAAGTATTTCTTGCCAAAATATTACCTTTTGCTACCTGGTTTCGACAAGCACGAAGAGACTGAAAAAGGCTAAATCCATCAATAGTCACAATGGCAGCTGGATACAAGATACTCAATTCTTCATTCTGTTTGAGAAATGAAAAGTGGAGAAAATAATGCATTTTCTTGCACAGATATGGCAAATAAACATTTTTAATATGTGAGGGTCACAAATAATGTAAAATTAAATACTATGACTAAACTGTCAACTATCTGATACACAAAGCAATGTGAGGGAAGGAATAGTAAGAATAAATGGAAATAAATTTCAAAATGTCTTTTGGCCAAGACTTATAATTCTTCTCAAATGAGCTTTTGAGGATGGTTGAAATCATTTGAGATATTTAGATGGTAGGAGGAAGAGGAGTTTTTTAAGTTTCATGCAAAAAAAAAATCATCACTGTATAAATACAAGCAATATATAAAAATAGAAAGCAAATGCACCTGAAGTTAATCCATAAACACTTGCATGAGATAATCACGTAAGTCTAAAACATATTTTTATTACTCATAACATGCCAGTGATATTTTTCCCCTTTTAGTAAATAAAGAAATCTTTTCTGCCATAGCTCCATAATGTGGAGCCACTACTTTTTTTTTTTTTTGTAGGTCATGGGGCTTGAACTCTGGGCCTGCGTGCTGTCCACAGCGCCACTTCCAATTTTCAAGTGGTTTATTGGAGAGGAGTCTCACAGACTTTCCTGCCGGGGCTGGCTTTGAACCTCAATCCTCAGCTCTCAGCTTCCTGAGTAGCTAGGATTATAGGCATGAGCCACCGGCAGCAGGCTACTTTTTTTTTTCTTTTTTTTTCTGGTCATGGGGCTTGAACTCTGGGCTTTTCAGCTCAAGGTGAGCACTCTTCCACTTGAGCCACAGCACCACTTCCAGTCTTTTTTTTTTGCCAGTTATGGGGCCTGAACTCTGGGCCTGGACACTTCTTGCTTTTTCTGCTTTTGTAGTGCTAAGGAATCGAACCCAGGGCCTCATGCATGCAAGGCAAGCACTCTACCACTGAGCCACCTTCCCAGCCCTTTTTTTTTTTTTTTTGGGGGGGGGAGTCCGGTAGTGGGGCCTGAACTCTGGGCCTGGGCGCTGTCCCTCAACTCTTCAGCTCAAGGCTAGCGCTCTACCACTTGAGCCACAGCGCCACTTCCAGCTTTTTTCTTTTTGCTTATGTGGTGCTGAGGAATCGAACCCAGGGCCTCGAGCATGCAAGGCAAGCGCTCTACCACTGAGCCACCTTCCCAGCCCAACCAGCCCTTTTTTTTTTAAGATAAAAGTTTTGCTATGTTGCCCACACTGGATTGGAAATCTTGAGGTCAAGCACTCTTCTTGCCTCAGCCTCCCAAGTAAATGAAACTACAAAGCTGGGAGCCAGTAGTTTATGCTACCAACTCAGGAGGCTGCTCAGGAGGCTAAGATCTTCAGTCTGAAGCCAGCCAGGGCAAAAAAGTCCATGAGACTCTTATCTCCAATTGATCACTAGAAAACTGGAGTTGTAGCCCAAAATGATAGTGCCCTGAGCACAAAAGCTCAGGGATTGTGCACAAGCCCTGAGTTCCAGCCACACAGCCAAAAATAAATAAACTGTGGGCTAATACAATTGTGCCTTGTAGAGGTGTCTACCTCAATGTATGTAACCAATTTTTATTGAATATTCATTTCAGTCTCTTGCTTCCATTCCTGCTCTCTACAAACAATGCACCATACCACCAGCTAACAGGTATAGCAAATAACAAGTATTTCAATATTATATTTTTCAATCAGTTAAAAAGAAAAGTATCATAGATATGACCCAGATCAAAGGGTTGGAAAAAACCTTCAAATCTCAGTGAATTTGTGGAAAATGGTAAATATCTCTTGTAAAGTATCATCAATTTATAGATTATTATCTTAGATTTCCAAGTGTTCCTTCCTTGTTGCCTTCAATAATTCTACTTTCTCTTCATCTCTTTATGAAGAATATTAACAAACAGGCGTCTTTAGCCTTGGAAGAATTCATTATCTTCAATAATTGTCTTCATTAATAATTTCTAATCCATTCTTACACCTATTTTTTTATCATTATATGATATTGGTATCTTCATATTTTCTAGCATGGCCTCGAGCTTAAATACCCCAAACCAAACTTACTAACTTTTATTTACTGTTAATGCAGTAGTATTCGCAGCTTCTAACTTTGTCAATTGGCATACCTTAGATGAATGTCTTTTAAGTTATCTTTTTGTTCACTTCTCTTTTTATTCTTCTACTTCTCTGGACAAAAACGGTCTTTTCCTTCAACTTCTGTTCTGGTTTTTCTCTTCCCAAAGCTATTCTAATTCTGTTTCCCAACATCTAGCCAAAATACCTTAAAAAGACAGATAACCAGCCAGGCTTGGTGGCACATAAATGTAACGCTAGCACTGGGAGGCAGAGGAAGGAGGATTATGAGTTCAAGGCCACTCTAGGCTATATAATTAGACCCTGTCTCAACAAAACAAGATAAGATAAATAAGACAGGCAATTAGCCGGTCTCTCACAATCCCAATTCATCATGAAAAGAGTCCTGCAGTAACCCTCTGATTATATCACTTCCTTTTCATATATCTTTAGAAGCTTCTCTAATCTCTCAAATTAATTATAAATTTTATTTAGTCTTTAACTTAATGTATAATTGGCTACTCTTGCCTATTTAATAGTTTCTCAATATTTTGTAACACAGGTCTTTGTTATCACATAATCTGAATATCCTTCATGCTTCTATGCGGCACATTTTATCTTTTCCCCATTATTCAAGGCTTACTTCAAATCTCACCTCCCCAGGGAATTTTCCCTATTATCCTAGTTCTACTGAACTCTCCTTCTCTAAACTTATAGAGTATTTATTCTGCCCATAAAAATAAACTAGGCAATAAACTAGGTATTTCTTTATATTGATTAATTCATTCATAGGTATTGATACAATCTATTCATATTTATAAATATTAATCTAAGTTGTTCTGTATCTATAGTACATGTATCATGCTATTTAAATCAATATTACATGTACATAATACATGTATCAATTCACTTAAAATCTTTTGGAAGCTAAAAAGTACAAGAAAGGAAGGTATATTGTATAGTACATATAGTATATTATATAGAAAGGAAGGAACATTATAGTTTGACCATATATGCTGCACACTAAATAAAGGCATATTGGTGGAAGTGGCTCTACAATGACTTTTTTTTCTTTGGAGCGCGGGAAGGAGGGTTGAACTCAGGGCCTGGGCACTTTCCCTGCGCTCTTTTTGCTCAAGGCTAGCACTCTACCACTTTGAGCCACAGTGCCACTTCCAGTTTTTGAGTGGTTAATTGGAGATAAGAGACTCACAGGGACTTTTCTGCTCAGGTTGGCTTTGAATCACAATCGTTAGATCTCAGCCTCTCCAGTAGCTAGGATTACAGGTGTATAGTGACTTTTTAACTATAAGACCAGAACTTTTCTTTTACCACATGTAATTCTGACATACAAGTCAAAATTAAAGATATAGTTATACACGCCACAGTTTACACACTCAAGAGTATAATGTTTCATTTAAAAATACAAGTAAATTGGTATTTTAAATTCAGCTACAAATAGATAAAACACCATAGTTAACTGTGACATGTATCTGTTTCCATTCAAAAAAGCAGAAAAAAAGTGCTTCCAAGTAATGCCATTGTTGCTTTGAACAGTCTTGTACACCAACCTGTTCAGTCACGCCAGGATGTCGAGGGATTTCATAGGTCCTGCATTTAAGCTGAAGCACTGGGTCTTCATTCAAAAGTTGTGCAAGCAAAAGCACACCATTCTAGGAAGAAGCACAAAAGACTCAGCTTAGTTTCTCATCAATATGCCCAAACAAGAATTGCAGAACACATAGTACTATCTCCCCAGTAGTTTCCTATGCATATCAGGTACTCTCTTTTCAGAAGAATACAATTTCCCTTCTCTGTATCTTGTAGCAAAAGGTACTACTGCCTCTCCTGGCCTTCAGGAAGCATTAATTTCAAGCAGCATATAATAAAGACACATGGTACTAGATATTGCAGTCAACTAGGATTTTCTTAATGCTGGAAACCCAACTCACCTCAGTGTAGAAGCGTACATAGCCTGAAGTAAAACCCACTACAATGCAAGTCCAGTCAGGGCGTCCAGTGGAACTCCTGTAACAAATGAAACTTATGATCCTAATAGCCAGATATCAAGAAGAAGAGATAACTGTTATTTATCCTTACCTCTTTTGACTTGCTAGTGGGATACAGAGGGCACTAGTTACACGTTCCCTAAAAACAAGAACAAAATTACATGCTTATCTACTGACCTTACTTTTATTTCTCTATAATTTGATTTTAAAAGATATTAAGTAAGTAGAAGGGGACCTTATGTACTAGTTTTATTGTACACATAAATAAGAATACAGTAAAACTCAAGCCAAGTGCTAGTGGCTCATGCTTGTACCTACTTGGAAAGCTAAGATCAGGGTTCAAGGCCATCCTAAGGCAAGAAAGTACAAAAGATTCTTATCTCTAATTAGCTACCAAAAAGCCAAAGTGGAGCTGTGGCTCAACTGGTAGAGTATTAGTCTTGAGCAAAAAAGCTCATGGAAAGCATCTAAGCCCTGAGTTCAAATCCCAGAAGTGGCATACACACAAAAAAGTACAATAAAATTCATTCACATAAACTATAACATCACATTCATTTGAAGTTAATAGCTGTATTTTAAATTCTGTATTGTCATAAAAAGCATGAAAGAAAACAAAACTTTACACTGATTGCACACAGAAATAGAAAATCTCAAATAATCAACAAGCAGTTATTTCTCACACGTTCCTATCTTCATTTCTCTACAAACTCTAAAGCTGGAAAGCATATACATTTACTAAATATTTCAAATGATGGAACTACTTATTTATTTCACATATTCATTTAACACTAAGAGAAATCCAAAATTAACTCAAACCTACCCTTCTTCAACATTCAGAGAACCACTCCAACCAACAGCAAATTGCATTTCTTCCTTTCCTTTATCACTGCATTTCCATTTTGCTGGAAAAAATTAAGATGCCATATAAAATAACCACTCTATCCCTTTAGGATGATTATAAAATTTAATAGCTCAATCATTCATTGATTTGGGTCTTTTTATAGGTATATATAATATTTTAAATTTAAGAGTTTTTAAAAAAATCATCTGGTTTCCTAACTTTCCTCCAATTAAACCCATGTAGTATACTATTTTATACATAGTTATTGCATACCAGTTATTTATAATCTTTATCTTAAGATAGCAGACATTTTTCTATTTGATAAACTTATTTTATAAGATCATTCTACAGTCATTTTATATACAATCTTATTTTGTTCAATAAGTGTTCCCATAATATCTTATATACTTAAATCTTAATTTTAATCTTCAAAGTCTATGAGCTGAAAAATCTATGCCCCAAACAAAAACGTATAGTATTCTAAGTCTTTAAACTATAGCTACAAGTCATACCAGTTATACTGTTACTAAAAAGCAGTCAATGACCTTATCAGCACTAACTCTCCCTTGCAATAAATGGGCTGCTATCTCTGAAGGGCCATTCAGTGATAAAGTATCTTGTAGTCAGAGAGAGAAGAAGGATGGAAGGAAGGAAGGAAAGAAGGAAGAAAGGGAGGGAAGGAGAGAGGGAGGCAAGGAAGGAGTGAGGAAATACAATTGCTGCCTGACATACCAATTTATAGATGTCACCATATAATATAAATGAAAGAAATATTTGAAAATTTCCAAATACCCTATATATGACTCCAATCTATACATTCAAATAAAAACTGCAGAAAACAATAGAGTACTTACGCACTAAAAACACAGCTTTTTGTTCCCGAGCTATAACCATAAGATCATTGGTTGGAGATAAGGATAAAACACAGTCTTGAAGCCAGGAAGTTCTTTGTGTTCTGCACGTATTTCCTTCTTCTTCCTATGAGTAAAAATGTTTGCCATAAATGCAAAAATATTGTGTACTTCAATTCTATTTGCCTCAGAGTGTAAGGGGGAAGAAAAAAGGAAAAAGAAAGATCCCTGATTGTTACAGTATATAATATTCTTTATCAAAGCATGTCAAGGATGATCAACCAACAAAATACACAGTATAAGCTAATTTGTTTTGAACATTAAAAAAATTTTTTAAACATACAAGCAAAACATTAGAAGAATGTCACACAAGGATCATTCCAGTAATGAACCAATCTTGGGAAACTCAATAAAGAGCGTATTAAGAAAAAGCTGTGACATAAGCAGCTAGATGGCAAAGAAAAAAATAACCATTATCTCATGACAGCTATGGTTTTAAGATCTGTAAAAGTATCTGATAAAGTATGATGCTTGCCTTTTGTTTGACCTGCAAGGTATTATCTTTCCTAAATTGGAAATTTATTTTTTAATAGGTAAATGTCTATAGTTAAAATTCAAAGGTTATTATATATTTAAAAAAAAAAAAGGTTTTCTTTGGAATGTCTCTCTCATAGTCCTGTGCTCCAGCCATCTAGTTGTCCTCTCTACAGACAATCAAAGAAATCAGTTCTTTCTCCTGTGACACTTTATGTGCATAAATGCAAGTAAGTTTACTACTTTTTCTTCCCTCTTTCAGGGATAGTAGCATAGCGTATGTCTAACATTTTGCTTTTTGTTCCTAACATATACAATAGACTTTATTCCATTTGACATTTATTCTTATTAAAAGCATGCATAGCATAAATGTACCTCTTGATAGACATTTATGTCACTTACAATCATTAGCTGTTATCAAGTGCATGGATAAGTATATACGTTTGTTAAAAACTGTGTTAGATAATCTCAAACTGTGTTCCATGTGTGCTTGTATTCATCCATAATATGACTAGCCATTTTTTTTTTAAAGCACTTGTTTTTCCAGACTTTTCAAAATATATTTTAATTAGATCTTTGCCAGGCTAATAGATAAAAAGGAGTATCTCAATGTAGTTTTAAGCTGCTTTTCTCTTATGAAAATAGACATTTTCTCACATGCTTAAAAATTCATTTGTAGCCAGGCACTGGTGGCTCACGCCTATAATCCTTAGCTACTCAGGAGGCTGAGATCTGAGGATTGTGGTTCAAAGCCAGCCTCTGCAGGGAAGTCTGTGAGACTCTTACTTCCAATAAACCACTCAGAAAACTGGAAGTGGTGCTGTGGCTCAAGAGGTAGAGCACTAGCCTTGAGCTGAAGAGCTGAGGGGACAGCGCTCAGGCCCAGAGTTCAGGCCTCATGACAGGCAAAAAAAAAAAAAGATGTAAATTTTCTACAAATACTTTACTCCTCTCCTTGGTACAATTCCTGTTGGGTTGCTGCATTTTTTTTTATAAATGACTTATCTATATTAAGAGTCCTACCTTTGAGGAGAGTCAACAGAGGCACAAGGCAGGAAGTTGTATAAATATAAACAATAAAGAGAGGCACAAGGCAGGAAGTAGCATAAATGCAAACAACAATAACAACAAAAAGTATGTGGATCTGTCTGAAGTAGTTCCTGTATTAAATCTTTTTCAAGAAAGCCTGAAGTCAAAAGATACAGTATAGTCAGAATGAATAAACATCTACTCCAGGCTGGATCACAATAAACTGTTAGCTTTTATAGCAAAACTTGATTTCTAACTCATCGAGAAAGTTCAGGCATGAAACAGGATGCACACTACAATGCTTTGTGAAGTTTACTAGAGCATCAGCACACATTTGTTGGCTGACAAGATGCAGGCTCAGCATTTTGTTTTATACTATAAGGATATTTGCCTACTACATTTTTGAAAAAAATCTCCCCATGCTAATGGGGACCTCAGTCACTAATATTGGTCCCTTGAAGCTATTATCTTAAAATAAAAGCATCAACTAGCAAGATAGTTAATTTCCCAAGTAAGGCATGACATTTTAAAAAAGAATTTAAAAAGCATCTTATGGGAGAAGGAAAGCAGGAAAAAACGAGGAGGAAGTAACAATGTTTGACAATGTTTGACTCATTTCCTTACTTGTGTAACTGTTACCCCTCTGTACATCAACTTCACAATAAAAAAAAAAAAAGACAAGTATCTTACCACTTAAAAGTGCTACCTCAGAATGACCTAGTTTTCCACAAAAACTAGTGTCTTCATTAAAATTAATATCCATATTTATAATTATATATTATATATTGCAACATATTAATATCCATATTTATAAAACATAATCCCTAGGAGGCTAAGTTTGTAGTTCAGGGGTAGAATGTTTGACAGCATATACAAGGATCTGGGTTCAATCCTTACCACTACAAAAACCAAAACAAAACAAATGAACACAAGGAACATAATCCCTATTGGGGGAAGAAGAAATCTGTATATAAGTGAGGCCTACTCATCAAACCTTCATCTTTCAATTAAGACCCGTGAAAACATTTTCTTCACTGCACAAATATGGAAGCCATTACTGTGGATTGTAAAAGAATTCTTTTCAAACAACTAACTAGAGTTATAGTATATACTTCAAAATAGTTCTTTTGATTTTAAGCTCAGAAATCTGTCAAATAATTATTGTTTCGCAATGTACCAGATGTCTACCTCAGAGTTTGGTGAATAATTCCTTAGCAAACATGGTGACAAATGTTTTCTGGTGTATGTAATAGTACAGAGGGTAGACAGTCATTCAAGTAGTCAGGAGCAACTTCTCAAAGCTTTCATCTTTAATACCATCGGTCCACTGTTTGCAACATGGGTTCTTCTTGTTACTGTGTTAACTTTCCAAGTTATTTATATATTATAGTGGCGCCAATAACGTTCACTGAAATAAGGCGCTTTTATCACATTCACTGTAATTCTCAGTGGTTTGCCCTCTAAGACAACAAACTAAAACATTCATCTATACTTTCAAAGGGGCATAAATGCTTCAGCTATTTTGAGACACAAGAAGAAAGTAAGCCGTGCTCTATAAGTAGGGTTTTCTCTTCCCCCCCCCACAAGTCTATCGCTAATATAAGCAATGCTCAATATTTTTCAAACATTTTTCTTGTTTTCTTAAAGGGGAGGGATTGTAGCAAGACTTATTCCCAAACAAAACTACATACAAAAGTTCAGTTTACAAGCTACATAGGAGCAGAGATGAGCACTCCTGTGAAGGCCTGCAGTATGAAAAGTACTAGTCCAGCCCCTTTCCAAATCCAAATCTGAAATTTCCCAATGGAAGATTTTAAGTTCTTTTCTGATGCAAATGGCATTAGAGAAATAATGAAATAATGAAAAAAAAGTAATGCTCTAATTGAGAATCTTGAGTCAGGTCACGCTATAGTCTATGCTTTAGACTTTAAGCATACATTTCTTTGGGTACCCATCTGATTAACATGTTTTCATTCCTTGTTTATCTGACAGATCATAGTTGCCTCTGCCACTTTTTATAGAACAGATGGGGCATATAGCAAAGTCTCTTTTAAAGGGAAATTTCCCACACTGCCTATCCAAATAGAGGACACAGAACCTTCTTTACTTCCTGTCCCAGTAACCACTCCTCACAATCTATTTACTATTGAGGAAACCAATGCTATTCTTCTCTTCCTAGTCCTTAAAAATACCTTCCTAGTTAAGATAAAAATCTAGCCTTTTTCAAATTTCCTTCAGACTGCTTCAGTTCCCTTTAAAATGTGAAGGCTGGCTGAGCAAAATATTCCAACATAACCAGTTATTTCTTAGAGGAAAATATTAGAGCTAGATGTGGTGGCTCTCAGCTACATAGAAAGCTGAGACCAAAAGGATCATAGTTTGAGGTCTAATGAGGCTTCCTCAGGAGAAAAAGTCCTTGACATTTTATCTAACAAAAAATCTGGGCATAGGGGCTGAGAAGGTGGCTCAGTGGTAGAGCACTTGCCTTGCAAGCCTGAGACCCTGGGTTCGATTCCTCAGCACCACATAAAGCAAAAAGAAAAAAGCCAGAAGTGGCGCTGTGGCTCAAGTGGTAGAGTGCTAGCCTTGAGCTGAAGAGCTGAGGGACAGTGCCCAGGCCCAGAGTTCAGGCCCCACAAGGACCCCAAAAAAAAATTTAAAAAAAAAAATCTGGGCATGGCAACAGATGCTGGTTATCTCTGCTACAGAAATAGACATAAACAGGAGGATCAAGGTCCAGGTTGCCAAAAGCAAAAAGAAACCCTAGCCTGAAAATAACAAAAGAAAAAGCCCTGGAGATGTGGCTCAAGTGGCAGAGCACCTTTCCAGTAAGTGTGAGTCCCTGAGTTCAAACCTCAGTACTGGTCTGGTGCTTTTTTTCATTCTCTTTTATTTCCTTATGGGCAAGCTGGAATTCTTTAACTTTATTCTTCATTGCCCAATTATATTATACTTGACATAGATCCACTATTTGGAGTATTGTTATGTACTGACTAGTAACTCCTCTTATCTCAATTTACATACTTAAGTCCTAACCCCTAATTTAACTACTATTTGATAACAGGGCCTATAAGGAGATAATCTAGGTTAAATAAGGTCCTGGGTGGCTGATATCCTGATAGGGAGAAGAGGCATAAGAATTCAGTCTCCACCCCCATGTATACACAGAAGAGAGGACAACTGAGAAGACAGCAAGGAGAGTTCTGCTCTGGGCTCTAGAGCAGTGAGAAGATAAACTTTAGTTCTTTAAATCAGACAATCTGTGGTATTGTTATGGCAACCCTGACCACACAGAGGCAGGCAGGCAGGCAGGAAATATCTGTTCAAAACACTTACCTTCTATTACAGAAGCCACACTTTAAGCTCCTGAGCCCACCAATGTCACAGACACATATTTCTTTAGGTATGGCTGGCTGCTGCTGGTATTTCGTATTATAATAGGCCTGACTTCCTTCTCCTCTCCCTCCCCACGTTTTCTAAATTTTGGCCCAAAAAAGGACTTTACTGGTCAGTGAAATTACCTTAAAAGATAGCCAAGAAGTGAGAGTATTCTGTCTTTCATTTTAAGAGAATGGTTAGTATAGCAAAGACAAGACAATCTACAATAAAGCAAGCCCAGGCAGTGCAACAGGGTTTCTACAGAGGGTTCTCTGTTCCAAGGCAAGGTAGGTAGGTAGAGAACCTGGCTGAAAAAAAAATCACAAGTGGCCAGAAGCCCTTGAAGGGAATCTGGCCTGTCCCTTCTCAACAAGACCACATGCCTTTAGCCCAACTACAGAGCTACTTCTGTTAAGATCAACAGTTTGGTCCCAAGCCCTCCAATACATTGTGACACTGCCTACGTGAGTTTCTTTTGTTCCATAATTGTACTGGGAGGTAGGCTAACACCTGTTTAGGTGTGTTCCAGATTTAAGCTGTAGTTACTTGTTCACTTATCCCATACTGATATCATGTCTGTGTAAAGGCAGATAGAGACCACAGCAACCTGGACCTTTTTCCCAACCATGAACTAACTGTTCGCATAGCTTGGCCATGATGAGAATCCCAGCAATGGGAGGTCAACCCTCCTGCAGGTGATCCACTTGTCACTGTTCATTTGCATTATCCTCCCACATGGGTGTAATAAATTCTTTGGTGAGATGGAAGTAATTATGACCTGAATCTGGTCCCTGGAACATGCCATAAAACCAACTGTTATACAGAGACAAAAGGTTTCTTCTGTCTTGATATTCTGTTCATCGGTCTATAAGCTGGTAGGGCAGCCCAGGCTCCTCAGGAAATGCCAAGAAATGCAGTCAAAATGCAAGGATGGTCTGCGGACAGTAACCTTCCTCTTGTTCCTTCTTTACTCCCATGTTCATTTTTCATTTCTCACCATCTCTCTGTGTGCTGTTTTCTTCAATCTGCTCACTGTTTCCACTGTTACTATCTTCCAAGACTTGATGTTCTTCTTGTTGCTGCTACTTTCACTGCCTCAGAGACAATACAGGAGCTAGAATGCATTTTCTTCACTAAGTCCTTAGGATGTTTGACATTTTGGAATCAGAAAAAGCTAAAGAGGCTTTCTTTAAAAAAAAAAAAAAAAAAGGCTTTTCCAGACTTCTGGCACTGTCAGTCTAAATTCAAAAGCCCTTTACTCTTTAATGCCATAAAAATGAAACTATTCTCAAGAGTAGTGGAGACTTGTGGAGGTAAAAAGCATCCTGGAGTTGTAATAGTTTGCTGCTGGACTCAGCAGTAACAACTGGCCTCCAGGTCAGCCACATTCAGTAGAGCTGGCTGTCATTTACCTGCTTACTACTGCTATACCCATAAGGACCAAAACAAAACAGCTTTCTAATGCCAAACTAGTAAGAATAAAAGTTGATCACAATGGTCTCAACACAATGGCAACAGACAGAACCCAATTATTAAGTTTATAGTTAGAGCCTCTTGACACAGCCACAAGCTGACTTCAAGACATTCTACTGTGTTGCTGGCATCATTGTTAGTGTGAACATGCCCGAGCTATACTTTCAGGGAAAGTAGTAGGTTGTGAGTTTTCTGATATTCCTAGCAAAAGAGAGTAGATATTTCCTTTCCATTCTTACCTCCTCACTGGGTATGGGAGACCTAGTAGAGCTTTAATGTAAAATAAAAGATAAAGAATCCAAGACGACAAAGATATAAGCAAGATCCAATCTTTAATTACATGATCCTATTTGTATGACATATTCAGAATAGCAAATTCACAGACAAAGAAAATCAGCAGTAGCCAGGGGTTGGGGATCGGGGAAGCACAGGAGGTGGATGACTAACAGACATGGGTGATGAAACACTACAGAATGAGATCACTGGTAATGCTGTACAAGAAGGTTGTGAATATTAAGCCACACTAAACTGTATACTCCAAAGGGCGAATATATGGTACATGAAGTATATCAAAACTGTGCACATTAACATGAGAACAAACTATTAAAATCTGAGTAATTAAAATGGATACTAAAAAACACAAAAGAACCAATGAAGGAGTAACAAAGGAACTAAAGGACATGAGGCAATAGTCAACAAATAGCAAGATGACAGATATGAATTCAACAGTACCAATAATTACATTAAATGTGAAGAAATTAGTCACTCCAATCAAAGGTTAAGATTAGTCAGACAACATCCAACAACCTGGTATCTACAAAAAAACGTTATTTAGATTAAAAGACCTGAATAGGTTAAAAGTAAAAGGATGGAAAAGAGGTACAGAATGACAAAAAGTGACCAAAGGAAAGCTGAAATGGCTATAACAAATATTAGACAAAATAGATATTAATATAAGGACAACCACTAGATACAAAGAGAAATGATTCAGAATGAGAGCTATCAGGAACATATGACAAATAATTGTGTATGTACTTCACAACAGAATCCTAAAATACATGAAGCAAAATCTGACAAAGCTGGAAAGGGAAATACACAATCCCACAGTAACCGATGGAGATTTCAATGCTTTTCTTTCAATAATAGATAGAACTAGTGAGCAACCCATATAAGGGAGACTTTTATGACACCATAAAACAACACACAATAAATTTAAGAGGGTTGGAAGAATACAAAATATGTTCTGATAACATCAGAACAAAATGAGAACAGCAAGGGACAAGATTTATTGACTGCTAAGGTGATGAAACACTTCTTCGAGTAGGATTTTCAAAGAGTCAACACCTGCCAATCTTCCCACTGGTCTTCCTGCACATTTGCCTGCTCTTAATATTCCCATGGAGTTTTTTAAATAAATCTTTACTACATGAGTATCTCTACTTCTTAGCACATGATGCTCTTTAATTTCTCCTCCAAACGTACTATTTTCCTCTTCTTTCCCATTCAGTATGACACATCATTCACTCAGGTCTCAAGACAAATATCTGGGAGGGTGTATTACTTTTATTATAGCTATCTTTAAATATTAACAAAATCAAAAGCAAAGGACTCACTTTTTAGGAGTTGTAACATATGCCAATTGTGTTTTATTTATTCCACACCATATCCCAGGTCAAAAAGGTCATTCTGGGGTTGTTTCGTTTTTGGTAGAAATGGGGTTTGAACTCATGCTTGGTAGGCAGGTGCTATCACTGAGCCACACCTCTAACACCATTTTTTGCTGATTAATTTTGAGATTAAATTCTTACTTCCTGCCCAGGTATGGGCCCAGACCACAATTTACGTAGTTTAAACTTTCTGTCATTGCCAGACTCACAGGCATTCTCCACCACATCCAGCTTCCCTCAAGACAGTCTCATGGATTTTTATGCCAAGCTGTCTTAGAACTTGAGTCTTCTCAATTTGAGCTTCCTATATAGCGTAAGATAACAGGCACATATAACTGCTAGCAGTTATGGGTTTAAGAAGGAGCCTCTTAAATAAGTAGAATTTTGAGCATAAGCTTGGCTAAAGAAGTTATTATTTCTAATCTTTGAGTAGTATAAAGGGGTTTCAGTATGTCAGTTCTGAGTACCATGTATCCTGACCAATGTCACTCCTTTCATCTTCCCCTATCTCTTCAAACCTCATCCACATATCCTTGATTTTTTATTTTCCTCTCACCCTTAGCAATCACCTACCCCATTGCAAAGTCTTACTGTTATCTCCAAAACTTACCCAGAACTCACCCACTTCTTTTTTTTTTTTTTTGGCCGGTCATGGCGCCTGAACTCTGGGCCTGGGCACTATCCCTTACCTCTTCGGCTCAAGGCTAGTTCTCTACCACTTGAGCCATAGCACCACTTCTGGCTTTTTCTGCTTATGTGGTGCTGAGGAATCGAACCCAACGCCTCATGCATCAAGCACTCTACCACTGAGCCACCTTCCCAGCCACTTCACCCACTTCTTATATTCACTAATATTACTTTAACCAAGCCAACATCATTTTCTAACTAAACTACTTCAACAGATACTTTTCTCCCTACTTTGACTTATTCCTAAGAGCAACCAAGGTAAGGTACAGAAATCATAAATTGTGTGTGTATGTGTGTGTGTGTGTGTGTGCGTGCTCCCACTGCATTTAGAATAAACTTCAAATTCATAATATTTTACATGGGGTCTGCTTACTTCTCTGACCCCTTTTTATAGCAGTTTCATTTCTACCATGTCACACCAGTTTTATGTTCCTTCAAACAGGAAGGCCTTCTTTCCTCAGGCCTTTGTGTGGCTATGTCTGGTTGCCGTGCCCTAAATATTCTTTGCCACATCTTCACCACATTGATTTTATATTGTATTTACATCTCAGGTTAACTGTCATATCCTTTGAAAGCCTTCCCTAACTATACAATGTACAGCAGTAACTCCATCTTGCTATCTCATGAACATTTGAATTTTCTGCATATCTATTGCCACCATTTGATACTCTTCAATTATTTCTCCTTTTGATTTCTTTCTCCCCACTAGAGTATAAGCTCTAATGGGAGCAGGGACCTACAATATGGTGGGTACAATAGATATTTGTTGAATTACTAAGTGAAAGAAGTCTAAAATAATAAGTTATACCTAAAATGAACATTCTCTATCTAGCCTTTACTATGCTTTAAATGTGCCCCCTTAAAAGGCAAGTTAAACTCTTAATTTCTAAGGTAATAATGTGAGAAAGTGAGACTTAATGAGAGGCGATCTAGGTCAGAAGGCCCTGAGTTCAAGGCCCAGGATCAACACCCTAAAAAAAGCATGAGGTCCTCCTACATTCCAGTACCACCATGGGCAGTAAAAAATGTAGAGGAGTAAGTATCTAGTTAGGAATTATTAAGTAAACATGTCTTTGACAAAGATTTTAAAATGTCAATCTAACACAGAAACATGTTACTAACATTGGAGAAGAAAAATGCCATTGTCAAAATAACATGGGTACATTTAAAAACACTTACCGGTTCTTGTGGGTCTGTTTCTTCCCATGCTCCCCAGCCATCATCTTCCCAGTTTGTTGATTTACCTGTTTTTTTAAAAATGAAAATGCTTACATGAAATATATAGCTTAGAATACTTTAAACCCATTTCCTCTAACTGTAATAAAACCAATCCCTCTATAATGTTGATGTTAAAAAAGAAAATAAGCCAGGTGCCAGTGGTTCATGCCTATAATAATAGCTACTCTGGAGATTGAGATCTGAGGATCATGGTTTGAAGCCATCTAGGGCAGAAGTTTAAGCGACTTTATCTCCAAATAACCAGCAAAAAATCTGAACTGGAAGTATAGTTCAACAGGCAGAGTGTCAAATGTGAGCAAAATGCTGAGTAAGAATGTAAGGCCCTAGTCCAAGCCCCAGTATTGAAGTGCGTATGCATGTGTACAAGTGCACACACGTGCATGCACACAAACACAAACACACACACACGAAAACAACTATAAATTGTGTTACATTAGGATTCTGTCCTATATGGAAACAATCAGGAAATATCTGATCTACTGAATTTCCAAATACGTGTACTATTAAAATTGTGTGCACATTATTTGGATCTTAAGATACTGGACATCAAGAGGATCTACATTTATCAAACTGCAAATGGTGACAAATTTTTTATTTGTTTGCTACTTAAGACAAAAATACAGTTACAAAAGCACCTAAAATGCCTTTAAAATGAATTGTTTCTTAACAAGACAAGGTATCCATGAAAAAGAAAATTAAGCTTTGAAATCAGATAAATTCAGTACCCACTTCTGATCCTTGACTTCTTACATATGGGACATCCTCTTAGATTTTAATTTGCAGTAATATAAAGTATCCAGTGATAGCTCAAATCCTGATCCAGCACTTAACTAATTCTGTGAGATCAGATATGTTATCTCTCATCTCTAAGCTTTAGGTTTTTTTTTCACTACGAATGCAGAAAAAACAATAGCTCTTTTAACTAGTAGGGATGTGGTAAGGATTTGAATCAGACAGCATACATACTAAGGCATTATGAGCTTAACATAAGTTTTCAAGATCTTGCCACTAAAATAGAGTGACTAAAAGTACAAATAAGTAATACTTCAGCAATTAAAATCAGCTTTAAAATTCTTAAGGAAACCACTTTAAAAGATGGTCCTAATCTTGGGCATGTACAATCCTAGCACCACGGAGGTTGAGGCGGAAGCTGACAAGTTTCAGGTTAGCCCAGGATACACAGCAAGACCCTGTGTCAGAAAACCAAAAAGGGGACTGATTTTGATGGTTTACAGCTAGAAGGAAATGACCAGAAATTTTACCTACATATAAGGTTTTAAAAGTTACTGAAATCAATTATGCAGAAATAATTTTAAAAAAGGAAACATTGTATATTTGATACTTGGAATCATTGTTCAATTAACTTGCAGTAATAGTAATCTAATTTGGGGTACTTAAATAACAAATAATTACTTCCTAATATCCCAAGCACATGACTAGAATATATTAAGTCCTACTAGACTACACCATTTGATTAAAACTGCAATGTACAGATTTCCATACACAAGTCAATTAACAATTTTAACAACTGATCTGTTAAATACCATGGGCCAAACCCTGTAGTAGGAGCTAAGACAAACATACTGTTTGTCTTTTAAAGAAAATCTGTGATCTTGTGTAGAAGAGGAATTAACATGTAACTGAACACTTGGAGAGGTGAGATATATAAAAAGTGAAATGCATCTCTAAAAAGTACTTATATACTTGGAAAAAACTCACCACTAATAAGAAAAGGTAAAGAGGAAGATTAACATGAACTGAACATTTCTACATGCCTGAGTGCTTATGGACAATTAACTCAACTTAAACACCATAAGGATCCTCTAAAAGCCCATTTTACAAGGAGAAAAACAGAGATTAAGCAGCTTGATCATATCATGTAGGACTAAGTAGTAAAGTAGGATTTGAATTCAGGACCACATTAGTTCCACAGCTCATACTCTTTTTTTTTTTTTTATCGGTTGTAGGGCCTGAACTCTGGGCCTGGGTGCTGTCCCTTAGCTCTTCAGCTCAAAGCTAGCGTTCAACCACTTGAGCTACAGTGCCATTTGTGGCTTTTTCTGCTTACGTGATACTGAGGGCCTCATGCATGAAAGGCAATCACTCTACAACTGAGCCACCTTCTCAGCCCCAACAGCTCTTCCTAAGAATTATATTACTCATATTCCTACTGTAGCTCAGGAAGGGTAAGATTAGGGAATGGTATAGTTTGCATAAAACCAAAAGTAAGAGCTCTTAATTTTTTTCCCCTGATAATACAAACATCCCCTTGATATTGAGATGTAAGAGAGGCTAATTTTGTTTGTTTGTCGTTTTTTAACTTAGATTACAATTTGTTCTTTGGAAACATAATCCAGAGAGACAATTGAATTCATTTTCTACTTCATCAAAAACAGCTGTCTTATTTTGCTTAATGGAGGCAACTAGACTAACTAGACAATCCCATTTACAGTTTTAGAATACATCATGTCTGCTGAACAGGAAATTAAAGTCCATGACTCACTTTGAAACTGGCTATTAAAATTAATGCATATACCAAGGTACCAATATTATCAAGAAAAGCATGCAGAATTAAAGTCCTTCAGGAAGGTCAGCTAATCACCCACGCATTCATTTCACAAACAGCACCTTTCATGTGCTAGACACTGTGCTAAATGCAGAATATATAAAAGTAAATAACACGTCAAAAAGCTCAGTTTGAGCATGGAACTTCTGTTGAATTCTGTTAAAATAAAAAAAAACCTTTTATTTTTCATTTATATTGGTATAAAAAGAACCTGAGTCAAGTCATAAATGACTCATACAATCAAACGGAAGACAGCAGTAATTTGGATTTCCTACCCCTGTGGAGAATCACTATTCCTTTATGACTCAACTCAAAATATTCAAGACTTAGAGAAATATTTTAAGCAAGCATTTGTGTTCATGAGGGCTTATCCATTTTTCAGTGGTAGAAAGCTTGATTAGGAAAGCTTTTGACTAGGAAGCTCCTCTCAACTAGAGGAAAAAGAGATTGGGGGGGTGGGGAGGGAGGTTGGACTCAGGGCCTGGGCACTGTCCTTGAGCTTTTTTGCTCAAGGCTAGCATTCTATCACTTTGAGCAATGGGTCCACTTTTGGTTTTTAGGTGGTTCATTGGAGATAAAGAGTCTCACAGCCTTTCCTGCTCAGTCTGGCTTCCAACCTTGATCCTCAGATCTCAGCCTCCTGAATAGCTAGGATTATAGGCATGAGCCACCAGTGCGCAGATGAAAGAGAATTTAATTGGAAAGTTCCCACTACCATTTTTCAAAGGAAATCAGGATAAAAACAGGTTAAAGGTGTTTTATAGACTGCTGTACAATACTTACTATGTCTACTATAATAAAAAAATTCTAAATTCTAGTCAATTTAAATATGGGAAACATTTTACAAATTAAACATTACCCTTGTGGGCTATTTCTACTCAGTGCCAGTGATCTAAATTTTGTGGCATCCTTAATTTCTGTTGAAAATCATTTAGTGTATTTTGCAAGCTGCTATTTGACAACTACTGTCAGCTGATGAAAAGTGTTAGACTCCCAGCACTTCACCAAAGATATTTCTGATATCTTTAAATTATGCAAGTAGGCCAAGAATAATCTCTAAGGAAAAAAAAAAGACAAGTTTATACTTAAAACATAGCTATCAGTATCTAATAATGATGTCATTCAAGTAAAAAATTTTATTTAGAAATAGTTTTTCTTTCTGATAACCTTTCTTGAAGAACAGTGTTCTTCCACTGATATAAGTTTAATACTTGTCTGGTCAGCACTGGGGTGTGAATTCAGGGCTTCATACTTGATAGGCAGGCTATTCTACTCTTTGAGCCACATTTCCAGCTTGTATTCATATAATTAGTATTGTTTCCTTTTTTTTTTTTAAGCACTTGAGTTTAAACTCAGTTATTCCAGTATGCTCAACTTGCTTGCTTGATCCACTACCATTCTACCACTTAGAGGGTAATTGTAACTGGTTTTGTCCTATTTATTGAAGCAGCAGCAACCACTAAATGTCCCATAAGCACTTCTATAATTAACACTGTCATCAAACGCCTCCGTCTTTCATTTTGTTGAAGGTAATCCAACAAATCCGACCGGAAAATTAAGAAAATGGCAGTAATATTCACTGCCTTCATAAAACTAAAATTACAGTATCTTTTGCAGATCTCCCTCTATAGGTATCCTGAAAAACTTTGCAATGAAGAAATTCAGATGAGTTAGGATGACTAATCGAATCAGGGATTGTGGTTGGGGGCTCTGTATGAGTTCAGGAATCTGAGTTTACTAATCTCCATCCTCCAAATCAGAGGCAGACAGATCATGGATAATGCACTAAGGTATACTAAATTAGAAATTAAATGTAATGCTATTCTAATCTGATCCTCAACATCCCTTTTCTCTTGGCCTGCCACTACTCTTTTCCTAGTTGGACTGTGCTTCACTAGTAGGCAGTCTAACAGTGCTGCCTAACAGAAATTTAATGTGAGCCACACGTATAAGCTAACTAGTCACATTTAAGTAAGTAAAAATATATAAAATTAAACTTGATTAAAGTATTTTAGCATAATATAGCCAGTAGGTCACAATTTTAATGAAATCAAGGTGAATTTATGAGAAATTAAATACTTTTTTATATATTTTACATTTAGAGTGTGTCTTGGTTCCTACTAGCCATTTTCCTAAAGTTCATAAAACAAGTATCTGGAATCAGATTGCCTGGGTTAGAGGTCCAGTTTTATCCTAAAGAGTTAGATGAGTTGGGGCAATTTAATTTTTTACTGCCTCAGCTTCCTTTTTAATAAAACGGAGTTAGTAACTATATCCCCTTTACAGAATTTTGACAAACTATTCAAAGCTCTAAGGACATATAGAGCTGGCATAGGACACCATACTGTCTGTCATAGTGACACCTAAATACCGCTGTTATGATAAACTTCCAAGTACAACATTTTCACACACGTATCTCTCACATGTTAGCTAAATTGC